CATTTTCATTCAGGGGTGGGACGCTAGGTCCCCCATTCAGTTTAATAGCCCCCACCCAAGCAGCACAGGTGGGGGATTAGCTTTTTTTTTACAAAAGTGAGCAGCCACAAGCTGCTCACTGTTTAGTAGACATACCCCTACTCGCTATATAGCCAGTAGGAGCAGAATTTACTAATGCTAAGTAATCTTTACTTAGTATTAGTAAACTTGGCTGAAAGACCAATTAGGTCTTTCAGACTTTTGGTAGATAACTCCCTAATACCGTAATACTAATAGATTGGAATTCCATTCATTCAAATTAAATTCCGATCCAAACAAAGTCCCGAATTGCATCCTAACATGAATGGATAAACTGTTCTCATTCTTTTAGGGCAAAATTTGGTAGTTTTGCCAGCGTTCGGGAATACGGAAAGGAGGCATCAAGAGAAAACGGAGGAAAGGTGTGAATTGTGGGAAAATTTCTATGACCACAGGAAATGGAGCATACTTTGCTCCTCCGCTGGTCATAGATGTTCAGGCGTAGGAAACCTACATAAGAAAAAATAGTCCCTACTTTGTGAAAGCATTGGATTGGCTAATAATAGGCAATGCTGATGGTGTCACCAAGGGGGCGGAGCTAGCGCTGCAAATAAGGTGAGTTTTAATAACTTTTAAGGGTGCTAAGTGGGGGGCAAACCAACTAAATGGTGGGTTTAGCACTATAGGTTCAGGAATACACTTTTGTGTTCCTGACCCTATAGTGTTCCTTTAAAAGAAGGACAGCAGTCAAGGATGTAGAATTTTACCCATTCTTCAGTGTGAGGCCGAATTCAGTAAGGCAGAGCAAATTTGCAACTATCGTCTTGATGTATTCATTTTTAATCCGGACACTGTATACATCTAGATGATTGTTGCAAATGTTCTCAGCCTGACTGAATTCCAATCGTTTCTCACTTTAGTAAATATGAGAATTTCCACTCCAGTGTTTAATGAATAATCATGATAGGGTTATTCACTAAAGTGAGAATTTAAGGTAAATTCAAGGTAGATTTCAGGTGAAAATGGCCAAAGGAGAAAATTCTCTAAGCTAGACATGCTTTCCATTCTGCTGCCCTGGCCTTGAATTTGAAATTTACTTTGAATTTAATTTGAATTCTCACTTTAGTACATAACTCTGTGTGTGTATACATGAGGTCAGGAAGAAAGGAGTTAAAACTTAAGACAATGTTCCTTACGAAAATATTTTTCTCTCTTTCTTTTTGCTTTCTTTTCAATTGCAGTCAGCAAAACTTGTTTTTCTTTTAGTCACAGATGTTAAAATAGCTTTGATCAGCTTACATTCAATTGTTACTGAGATCAAAGAGAATTGCTAAAATGCTTTCAGGCAACGTGCATAAGAAGTGCTTCCATGTATCCAAGAAATGAAACAGATGCCAAATCAACATTTTTCTTAAAGATGACAGAGCAACATATTGTATATTTTTTGATTTAAATACTAATGTTTTCAAACTGATAGACGCTTCTACTTTAAAGGTTTATAAGATTCTATTTCTAGAATTGTGATCATGTCAGTGCTATAGATTTGCTCTCAAGTATTTCAGTTTTCATGTTCGATCCGCTAACATCTTTAGGACGATACTGGATGACATTTTGAAGCCACGTGACACTTGTACTGCCCACTATAACTGAATAATGTGCAGACCTAAACTGGACAAAAACACCTGACTAAATTCTTTAAATGATGCTGATATTTTCTTTATGCAGTTTATTTTTTTTTGTAAAGTAATAATTATTGAATACTGACCTCTCAAAGTTGAAAAATGTGGGCAGAGAGTTGACTGCTAAGGACCAGTCTTTCTCTAGACCTAGGACATGAGGAGATAATGCTTTCTTTTAGGTCAGAGCATTGGACATTAAAAGTAGGGTAAGTGACAAGAGTTATAAAATAATGTGATTTAATGTTGAAGTCAATAAAATAAGAATTCCATTTTCTTTTTTTAAATCATCCACCCAACGAGTCTCATGGCGATAGGAACTGCAAATCTCTCATGGATAATATAGGATCTTAGAGAACTAGAAGTTTTTTATTATTATTATTATTATTACTACATTGAAATGGAAGCAGTACGGAGGTAAATGTTGGAGATGTTTTGCTGTTTGTGTCTGCAAATTGCAACTTCCACAAAGCTTTTTCCTATCGTTGTACAAATGTAGCACTTCTGGTGTCTTGAGGAAGTGAGTAATGCTCAGGAGTCAGCCACAAACAGTCTTGCTCTATAATACAGTATGTTTTTGTTTTACTACGTGAGGTTTTCAGTCATCTAGTAAATAGCTGTATGATGGTTCATTTTATATCTTTATAAAAGAGTAGATTATGTATATCGGAACTTCTGATATACATAGTCTATCAGAAGTTGTGCTTCATGAAACTGATTGTTTCCTAAAGCAACACATTTATTGAATGTCTAAATATTTCGCAGCTATTCCAACAACAGGGTCTGGTAATGTGGCTTTGCTAAATGCAAGGCTCATCCAAGTACAATTGATGGCAATAGCAATCCACTTTAATGTGATACTGGCCATACTCCACAGACAGCAGCCATGAGTACTATGTTAAATACTGCATATACTTATAAAACGAGAAAAAACAAAGGGCTCTTCAAACAAAAATGAATATTTATAGGAAATGATGACATATTTAATATGAATGTGATCATATTAAATAAATGTATGCAAATATATTATAGGGAAAAAATCAAAAATCCTTACAGTTCAATATTGTTAAGAAAAAAAGAGAGACACAGCTACTTATTTTTCTCTCATTAAGTTTAAAGAGCAATCCAGACGTGGACCCCTTGCTTATGGTGCCTAGAGAAATATTGTCTATACCTCATTGATGATACCTTACAAGGTTGAAACGATCGTCTGGGTTGTCATATCTCTCATGCAGAGGAAACTTGCTGGCATTTTAGATCAAGACTGCCCGTACGTGTGGGACCAGTCTGATATGCTTCAGATATGTTCTCTCTGTAATGGCACAAGTTGAGCTAAAACCAGCTTGAGATCTGAGCGGGGATCCACCGAAGGGCAGGCTAATTGAGCTGTTGTCCGTTCTTACCTCTCTTGTTACTTATTTTTCTATCCATATGTTCAGTGTAACTGCAATTCAGTAATACTCCATTAGATGGCAGCATGGTACCAAAAGGGCATTCTGTTCTCTGGCTGAGTGTGTAATATAAACTAAAACAAAAGATTAAGAGAAACAAAATAAAATACATTTAAACTAATTAATGAGCAAGGCAAAATGTATTCAACAGCTGGGTTTTAAATCTGTATAATATAAAAATGATATACATTTTTTTTCAGATCTATTTTAACATTTCCAAGTGGTGAAATGAAAAGAGACATGATGTTTGACTGGTTGGAGTGGAATGTTTTATAAGTAGAATGAAACATTAAAAGTGGTTGATTAGTGGGTTAAGGGTAAGCAACATAATTTAGAGATGCCTTAAAATAACACTGTAGTGTCAGGAATACAAACCTATATTCTAATGATATAGTGTTCTGCTCTGCATTTATTTCATGGTCCCACCCCCTTTTAAATCCCTTGTAACTCAATTTTTTCAGCATCAAAATGCAGTCCCTGCAGCCATTCGATCCACCTACCATGATGTCACGCCGACTCCTCTGCTTATCGCATCCGATGCTACTCATAGAAAGCACCTCTAGTGGCTGTCAGGAAGGTGGCTACTAGAGGTGTATTTAACCCTGCAATAGAGAAACTGCTGTTTCTATTAAAATGTTTTACATTGCAGGGTTCAAAGAAAAGTACTGCAAACATATTACTTCATTGAGACAAAATGGTCTGGGTGCCTTTAGATGTTCTTTAATAGCGAGAGGAATGACACGTGGCTTGGTTGATTGGGTTTACAAGACAAAATCTCAGTGGTGAGAAAAAGAAAATGCAGAGCATCACATCGATGTTCCTATGAGTAAGTATGAGTGTGAGATGAGGCCTGAAGAACAGAGATGGAGATAGAACAGTTATATGAAGGTATTTACAGCCATGAGGAAAATAGGGGAGGGGAAGGGTAGAGTAGCAATGTGTTGAAAAGTTTAGCAACCACATTCTGTCACTCAAAATATTAATAACTGTGTGCATGAAATATTGGTCAGAAACATTAAATGACGATTATAAAAACTCCATGCACAGAAAATTACAGTGACAAACTGCAGGTATAATTGGAAACAATTCTATAGTAACACGTGATAATATAGTAGCAATGTAAGAATAAATGAGGTGAAGTATCTTCCAAGCTACAGTCAGTACATTGGCATTGTGGGAGTTGCTGCAGGATGTTAAATGCAGAACATCACAAGTAAGAATTCAATGCAAATTCAAAGTGAATTTCAAATTTATGGTCAAATTAGCCAAACTGGCCTTTAATTTAAGTTCACTTTGAAATCTCAGTTTAGGCAGTCAACGGATTGTGTCTAATGCTTCCCAAGAACATTGAGTTTAGTGTCAAAAACTCATTGAAGTACATGTTTGCATGTGAACCAAAAATACCCAATTATTGGACCTACTTTGATCCCTTTGTTTTGTTCTACGTATCTTCACCTATATAATGTTTTCTTACTTGTTGCTCATTTAAGACTCCACAGAAATGATCTTTGCTGGTAAGATGGGTGAATAGTTAGCTCTCCCTCAGCTAGCGATTATAAGATGTTGGGATATTTGTGCTCATTTTGTCAGAACACCTCAACTTCCACCATTGGGGTGGAATATATCAGTAAGTGTCAAAGAAGGGGAGATGCAATCAAGCAAATCAGGTCAAAATACGTGTTACAATTGAGGGGAATATTTGCTAAGAATGCCAAGTACCCTCTGACATTTATCTAGCTCATTATGTATGTTTCTTGCCTCGTGTTTGTTTAAGGTAAATATTTATCAGTGACAAATTGGTTTCAGCATTTCAAAAATATTCTATTTGTTTCAAATTAACCAACACAAACACATGTAAAAGTTTATGTGTGTATTTTATTTTGTGTTGTATATATAACAGATTGTTGACTTATATACAGTAACATAGATCCAATAATCTTATATTATAAAAATAGAGCAGTGCCGAAATGTTTGCAATAAAACATATCTAATAGCTGAACACATATATAAAATACAGGGTGAGATCAACATTTGTGTTTACCATCACAAGACATTCGTACACATGGCTGCAAGAAGAGAACATGTGAATTTAATATGTAACCTAAAAGCAACAACATGTACTGAATTTAATGTAACATGTTGGTAGCATAACTTGGGAGATCATATAGAATGCAGTTTTAACTAGTTTTTAATATTAAAATGCTTGGCAGATCTGGGGAGAGAAAGCATGAGAACCACTGTCTCTTAATTCGTATATACTTCAAAAACTCCTTCGATTCTACGTCCTTTTTGTCCCAGGTTACATGAACACAATTTTTATTTTTCTCTTATTTTATTTTACACAAATATTGAAGAGATAACATACAAGACATTTATAAGCGATGATGTTCAACATATCATACTAGTGATCTCTACACTTTCATTTTTCATTTTTTTATTTATTCTTTGCATAAATATAGCAGAGAGTAGAATTTTAAGAGATTATATAGTATTCCTTACCTAGCAATACCTCAGACAAGTAATGAAATATTGACCTATTAAGACAAATACCATTTTTTTAGATGCTGTCTATCAATGCAACAAAATACATAAAAACAAACAATATACTAATGAAATTCATTGAGTTTTTGGGACTAAAGCTTTCCAAGGATACCACCAGAATGTTAAAATTATTTCCGACCACATCCAGTAGTTATAGTTGCCTGGATAAAGACAGGCATTGGGCATTATGGTTTATTATTGTAAGCTCCAAATATGCTTGCACAGTGCACAGATCTTTCCATTAATCCTCTGACATCCTTGGACTATAAACCTTGTACAATGTGAGCTATATGGGCTCACGTACAGCAAAAGAGATAAAATCTCAATTGTAAAATTATAAAGTTGCCTAGATTATGTAGATGCTACATAAATCAAAATAATAATACTAATACTAATAATAATAATTGCATGAAGGGCATATGAGTTGCTACCATTGCATACATGTGATCCTAATGTTTCAGAAACAATGACACACCAGAGCATTTACTGACCTGTATCAGATACATCTCACTCAGATACTAAATTATATGGGTGAGAAGCCAAATACTCACTGGCATCTCAAACAAGGTGTGTTTGCAGAGCAGAACTGACCATAAAGTGACCCTAGGCAGCTGCCTAGAGCCCAGATGTTAGACAAGGTTAGAACAATGAATTTTCTGGGCCCCATTAACCATCCCTAGGTGAAGAATGAAGAGGGGTTGGTGCTGCTACCTGCTGAGGGCTCTGTGGGTTGTGAGTTGTAATGCAAAACCTAAAATGCACTTTTGAAAAGATATGCAGCAATATATTCGGTTTTATGTACATGTATTCTTGTAAAATGTTATGCAAACTGACTCTGTGTGTATCTCACTGCTTACAAGCAAGTGTTTATAACATGCACAAAGCAAACAACACTGGATAGAGCCCACTATTTCATATCTGAAATCAATCTGTCAAGGACAATTTTTGGAACTGTATAAAAACATCTAAATTCCACCAAACCATTTACACCACTATAAATGATCCTGTACCCAGAACAAAAAAACAACTAATTATTTGGATGTGCCTTCTCCCTTGTCACAGAATGCAAACAAAATAAAAAGGAAAATTGCATTTCTATGTCTCCAAGAATTTGTAAGAATCATGTAAAAATATGCTTTAAAAATGACATTGATGGAAAAAATTTATATTTCTAATTGAACGAAAAACTATTAACATTTATACATTTTATGATTATATTTCTAAAAAATAATTTTAAAACTACAATATCCCCCTCTGCTATCTATCTATCTATCTATCTATCTATTTATCCAAATCCAGATATCTATCTAGCTATCTATCTATCTATCTATCTATCTATCTATCTATCTATTTATCTTTCTATCTATCTATTTATATATATATATATATATATATATATATATATATATTTATCCAAATCCAGATATCTATCTATCTTCCCATCCATCCATTGATCCCTCCATTTATCCATCCATCCATCCATTATCTATCTACCTATCTATCTACCTATCTATCTATCTATCTATCTATCTATCATTTATCTATCTATCCCGGAATCTGCAAACTTTTGACAGATTTTTAAAAATTAATTTAAGTTATAAATTGCTCATGAATTACAAAGCATATGTATGCATTTTAGATTTTATTTGAATATCGTAGATATGCAAGGACTCAGTATTTTCATAAACTTTGCAACTCCGATGAATAACAGGGAACACCAATTATTATATTGTTACATTTAAAGGTTCTATCTAAACACCAAAATCATTTTAACATTTCAGCAATTTACTTTATTTTTGCATCCCGATCCACCCCCTCCCCCCCACACCTGTGACTTACAAAGCTTCCCCACACACTCCTTGAAAGTGTGTCTTAGAATGTGTTACTTTATACCTTCCTATTTCCTGTTCTAAAGCAAAGCAGCCTCGTCTGTGAGATAAGATAATCGGTAAAGACTAAGAATTCTTCTAACCTTGCAGACTGGACTGCATCAGAAAATTACATTTTTGAAACTTTTTCTAACAAAATGTGAGCATTATATTCTATTTATATCATTTCTTAAACATCCAATATTATTTAACATCATTATATATTTTTTATTAGTATTTATTTTCATTTTTTCATGAAAATAATTACTGTGTTACTGTGTAATATGCTCTTATGTTGTTTTGTTTTAAATCCATGGAACACCCAGGGTTGTTTATTTTCCTAGTTTATTAAGTATTTAAAAGTTTCATGTGTTTTTAAGTATTTCTTAGTATGCACTCATTGTCAGTCCCGTATATTTAGAATCCTTGTAGTAACTAATGAGATGACAGGGTCTGCAGGTACATAGGCCAGAGAGCGGCATTGATGGAGGGGACATATACACAGGTGGATGGAGAAAGCACTAAATGGTAACTGGAATTGTATTGTTTCTACAAGTAAAATTGTTTATATAATATAATCAGATTATGTACCTCATTCTTTATATTAACATGATGCAGTTGATAATATATACTATTAAAATCACATACATCCAGATTTCATAATACTTGTCGAGAAAGCAACACAGTCTACCAAAGAATGTTCACATTTTATGACAATGGACCATAATCTCAAACACAGCCTTAAAGGAAAACTCCAGTGCCAACTCCTATGGGAAATTGAGCGACGCTGGAGGTCCTCACACAGCGTGAGGACGTCCAGCGACGCTCTAGCAAAGAAAATCTTTGCTATGAATCAGGAAGTGCCCTCTAGTGGCTGTCTAGTAGACAGCCACTAGAGGTGGAGTTAACCCTGCAAGGTAATTATTGCAGTTTATAAAAAACTGCAATAAGTACAGTTGCAGGGTTAAGAGTAGTGGGAGTTGGCACCCAGAACACTCCAATGGGCAGAAGTGGTATGGGTGCCTGGAGTGTCCGTTTAATTCATAGAACATTCACAATTATTGCATACATGACATAATATACAGGGCACTGGCACATTAGCACAAAATACACTATATAGCATCCTGCAGTTTCCTGCAGAAATGCAGAGGCTGATTCAATAAACATTTGACACTATTTGCTAATTAGTGAGTTGATAACACCAAAATGGCTGCTATTTTGGGTGCAAAGTGCAAAATACTAAAAGACATTCTATTGGTGTGATTGTTATTTGTCCCAGAATAGCATCCGTTTTTACCTACATAACTCTCCCCCTTTGTCCTTAGTTTTTGGCTTGATTAATGTTTTAGTGCAGGACATGGCTTAGTATATAAACCATTCAGAATTTATGACTATTTATTAACACACACACATGAAGTATGGAAAATGAAAGCACCATAAGTTATTGTGTTTAATGATTATAGTTGGCATATAGCCATCTAATTTATTGATATTCTCCCTGGTATCATTAATCATAAGTAAAATTCTATAATGCAATCTTGACTAAAAGAAAATGTACAAACTATATACAAAACAGAAAGGAACAACAATACTACGTGAATTTTCTATCACAAAATAATGTACCTATGTAAATGACAGCGATGAAGATAGGTTTACTGCATAGAGAGTAGTGTAATACCTGCCAATCAGTGCTATTAACCTGCAAAAAGAAGTAAGTAACTGAATTGTGTTTAATAAACTATGAGAATTAGAAAAACAAAATTAGTATTGAGGTAATAGTAATGACTTATCTGTTTCTTACAATAACATTTATTGCCTCGTGAAATGTGTTTTGAGAATTAATTTAACCCATTTGTTGCGTGTTATTAAAAATAGTGGTTTTATTTGAAACCAGAGCTGCAGTATTTTCTCAGTTAGGTATAGTGCAGGAGAGAGCTCATTGGCTGAGCAGCACAAGCGGGCAATGTGCTGGTCCTAGACCTTAGGTCAGGCCTAAGGTTCATGGCTAGCTCAGGAGAACAAAGGGAAGCTCCTGAACTTATGGCTCCCACTGAGATGTTAAAGAGGTGGGGAGCTGCATCCAGTGGTCCCCCGGTAAGAAATGCTAAAATGGTTTGATTAAGTTCAATGGGGAAGTGAATAATAAAAGAGCTCTCCTGGCACCATAACCCATACAGCACGCTGTAGTGGTTATGTTGTTTAGAATGTTTCTTAGAATGTTGCTTATGTTTGTTAGAATGTTCCTTAGAATGTTGCTTAGAATGTTCAAGGCGAAATGTGACAGTAAACAGAGTAGGGAGTTGCCTACATGTGCGTGCAAGTATGATAAAAAGCACAATTTTCCAAAAATATTCTCCAAATTATGGAGCAAAACAGAATTGGATTTTTTGTGGAAATTAAAATAATGTCTCTGAGCCTACAGGTACTGGAAGGTGTAAATTGAGTCTTTACTGTTAATATGCCACCATATAAAACACATTTTGTGTTTTGGTTTTATATCTTGTATTTGAATTCTAAATTAGTAAAGTGAGCTACTTCCAAGCTTTTTTCCCCTCATTTCTATATAGCACTTAACACAGTGATCTTTGATCTTTTGAGGTTATTTACACAAGCATTGTTGTATTTTTGGGATTTAGCAGTATTTGTCAAAATTGCACAGAAAATGACTTGACCTTAAAAAAATAAAAAAATAAAAATATATATAAACCTGAGTGTTTAGTTTCTTTGCCATCATTCTAATAACGGTTTGATACAATTTTAAATTGCTAATTAGATTTGTAATCCAAGTATAACAATTATTGTATAGTTTCCAGAAACATCCATTTTCTATGTTATACTGATGCAGTAGGGGTTGTTTACTAAACTGTGAAATATGGTTTGTTCAACATCAAAATTGTTATCTGCCATAATATTTGTGAACATAATGTAACTCGATAAGTGTCCAAACTCTGCTATTTTGGACTTCATTTTATTTTTGAGATTTTCAAATGCACTAAAATTCACGGTTTACCAAATAAATTCCAAAGTTACGATTACAGAGTTACGTTAGATAATATTTACAAGAGAAAAAAATTCCCTCTTTTTATATTTAACCCCCTGCAGGACAAAATCTAACACTTTCAGAGCTTGAAAGTAGAGCTGTATAAAAACTATGTTTGGTAAATAAACAGACCCTATCATATCATATACGATCTGAATGGAAGAGATTGTCAGGACAGCATAGACTTTCTTTGCCAAAAAAAAGATTATTTTTTTGCCAATTACATTTCACCCTGATCTGATCCCAAATGTACAAACCAAATATAATTCAATATTAATGATTTAACAACATTATTTCCATTTTAATACTTGCTCATGTTTTTAAAGCTCCAAAACTAACCGTTACATATATACATCAATTTTCACATCATATACTAGTTTCCTTATCCGATGGATTTGTTTTAGAATTAGGGGCTTCTTTTGCAGCGAAGTCAACACTTCCGGGGTTGTTCAGAGGTTCCTTTTCTGTCTGTTGTGGAATTTTCTCAGCAATGTCCTGTTCTCTTGCTCTCTTTTCCTTTTCCAATAATCTATAATTGATTGCATTTCCAATAAACAAATAAATACTAGCTACAATAACTATACAACCACATACAAAGTACATGTATTTATAATTTCCAGTGATGTCCACCAGCCAACCTGAAAATCCAAACAGAGAAAAATCTGTTAGCATACCAGTTTAGCAATAATTTTGTTTGCATGTTGATTACTGTGCATTTAGTCGGTCATGTTCACTTGTAATAATTGCATTTCCCATACTTCCACAACTATCCCATTGTTTAAAAAATATAAACAAATAAAAGTTTTAACGCATTCATCACTGCCCACCACGGTAATTATGAGTGACAGGGAGTCTTGGGGTGTACATATACCTTAATTCTCCAGAATTCCTCAACCACTTCATTAACCCCTCAAGGACATAACTTCTGGAATAAAGGGGGATCATGACGGAATATTTCCGTCATGTGTCCTTAAGGGGTTAATTGGTGGTTGTGGGAGAATGAGTTTAGATGTGAGTTCTGAAACATGCCCCCAACACTTCTTTCTTAAAAAATGTTAGACCCCAATGATATGGAATTTTAAAACGGTGACCTGCAACCTTAAGGTTAAACATATGCTAAGTGTCAGAATTCAAATTTTATAACTAAAATGTCTCAGATTTGAACATGCAATTTCACCCAATATTAACCAACGTAAGCATAATGGTTATTTTTCTGCCAAGTGGGTAGCAGACTACACATTTAGGTATATTATTCAGGTAGAATAAATCAGGTTTAAGGAATTATCATCAAAACTGTATATATATATATATATATGTTTTGTCTGTATATAAAATTACCTGAAAATTTAGCAGCAAGTTAATAAAATGGCAGCATTAATAATGTATAAAGAGTATAAAAAGAAAGCCTTAATTGTCTTTAAAAATACTATCCACAATATATATGATTGCGTGCTAAATGATTAAGAGAGAACAAGACACAACAAACATTTAAAAATGTATCTTGCTCTCAAGGTGTAAAACAACCCTTTTCATGAATGGGCTACTCATTTATGATTGATGGTTATACCATGCCATCAAAATAAACATCACTTTTTGTTAGTAACCTTAATAAAGTACAGAAGTTGTTTCAGCAAAATAAATAATTACATTCTGGGTGAAATGGATGTTATTTGAACATTAATATATATATATTCCAAAATTCAAGTAAAGAAAAGAAGATTCATGCTTTATTGGATTCAAGATAGACTTATGAACATAATTTCTTCATTCAAAAGTAAATTTGCTTTCTATCCTTGAAGTTAATATTTTTATGTCAAATGTCGATCTTAAACCAATGATTCTTGGAAAAAGATCTTTATTTTATCAAATTTTCAAATCTTCTCTCACAATATTCTCCTGGGTTTTTAAGACTCCTAAAGGTAATCATGTTATGTCCTTCAGTAGATAGGCATTTATAGTAAAGGAATTGCCAGTGAAATGGAGATTTAATGCTTGAGTTTATGATAAAAGTCCAAAAATATATTTTTAATGTTACTGAATCCAGTGTTTTAAGGAATCTGCGGGCATACTCAACCATAACAAAGTAGCATGAATCCTTTTAATAAAAATAGTTTGGTAAAAAATTATTTTTTGGTGTATACATCATGTCCCTGCAATCTCGGTGCTCAGTTTAATGACATTTATAAGTTTAATTACTAAGTTTAAGCAAATCTAGCTACGCCTCCCCTGGCTGTGACTCACACTCTGCCTACACACTTCCTGAAAAAGAGCCCGCTTTTTCCAGCTTCCCTTATTATAAAGTGTGATTTAATTAGAACTTATTATACTCTGCTTGTAGAGCCCACAACAGAATCCTATATGTGATTAAAGTGCAATGAACAGAGCAGGAGATAATACATGCTAAAGCACACTTAAGAGTATATAAAAATTAAACCTTTTTTTCATGGAGGCTGTGTGAATCACAGGCAGGGGAGGTGTGGCTATGGCTGCATAAACAAAGTGATTACGCTTCTAAATGGCAAAGAACTGAGCAGTGAGACTGTGGGAGCATGATCCATTTACATCAAACTTGATTCATTAAACAAAGGTTGTTTTGGTGCCTAGAGTATTCCTTTTACATTGGGCACTCCAATCACTAGAGATGCACGAGTGAGTCATGATTTATGCATTTAATAAAATAGAAATCTTGCAGAACAGTATTATCCTATTGTAGCAGCAGTGTAAAGGTAGCAGAAAAAGTATTTATTTAAGTGTCCGCTGGCATGGATTTCTATATGAAGCCAGTAGCTGGCTTGTATAATTCTGTGTTAACTGACATGTCATTTATTGATAAATGTAAATAAATACTCTTTGTTAATTTAATGTGATATGCTACTTACTCCCACTTAACCGTGAAAGCTATATTATTCAAGATATACTTGAAAACTAAAGAAGGTGAAAAGTATCCTTCCTTGAAAAATGCTCTGACAATATATTATTCCTGTTTATCGGTCCATCGGTCCGTCGCTTCATCAGTCTGTCCATCCGTCTATCAACAATCATTTATCAATCTATCTAGATTGGATTAGCAGCACTAATCCAGTAGACAAGATGTCAATACGTGATACTTTTTTTGGGGGGGATTAACGTAATACGTAAAAGACAAGCTTTTGAGAATTTTCTAAATCATCCATCAGTATTGCTTCAGACCTGAGGAAGAGAGGAAAACTCTTGAAAGCTTGTCTTCTAAGTATTCTGTTAGTGCAATAAAAAAGTAATCATTGCTTACTGCTGCTATACTCTTTTATCTCTCTCTCTCTCTCTCTCTCTCTCTCTCTCTCTCTCTATATATATATATATATATATATATAAATCCAGTTGCACTCATAGGACTTTAAAGTGAAAAATAGCAATTAAATGTGAAAAATGTATATACATTATTTTATTTTAATGGCATAGTATCTGATTGACGTTTCAATCCCACTGAGTCTTTTTCAAGATCTTATATATATTAGCTCTCTATCCATACATACATTCATACATACGTCGATGCACCCAGGAAACACATTGTTATACACTGGATAAGTGCAGAGACTGATATATATATATATACATATTTGTTTAGCATTTTATAGGTGAAGAATAAAAACATGTATGCAGATGTCTGCTTTCAGAGACAGGATGAAGTGCCAAGGATATATTTTTTAATTTTGTAAGCAATAATAATTTCTACAGATTCCCATTAATGGAACGCCAAAGTACTTCTATAAGAACTATTTACATAACCTTTTATCATAAATTTACCAGTTGTGATGGTATCAGCAATGCGCCTTAATATATAATTTTTACAGAAAAAAAGGACAGGATGGGAGCAGCTGCTTTTTTAATTTGCATATTTAGAAATTCAATGATTTATTCTAGTTTGTTTCTAGTAAACCTTTGTGACGTAGGTAATTTCTTTTTGCATTTCTGTTAACCCACTAAGTTTAAAACTATTATGACTTAGGGATGTACTCTAAAAGCCCCACAAGCTTTCTTAATTCAGTACTTCTACATGGTCACTTTCATGTAAATCCTCTGGAATGGGGAAGCTAAAATTGGGATGAGGAACTGTTGCTTTCCAGGATTTTTTATATTATGTTTACTTATCCTTTATATTCAATACATATGTATTTATGAGATGTTAAAAAGAAAATGAAATATAGAAATTCTCTTTATTCTGCAACTTGGTGACATTTTTTATGTCTGCCCTGGATTTGCCTTGTCTGCACCAGATTATAATGTAATTTGCTAAATATTTAATATTATTTTCAGTTAAAAGAAAATTGAGCACGATATGAAAAAAAGGTTAACAGAAATTATAAATGATTTTACAGTTTCAGGTCCTCACCATTGGTTAATGGAAATTAAACCCCTACAAACATTTTTTTTTTTTTTTAGATGGAAGGTGTATACTACTGTGATTAGTATCTCTTTCAGGAAGCAGGAGTTATGTCCATTTTATCCATAATAGGAGGGTCTTTATTTATTTTCTTTAAGTTGGTGCACCACACATTTAGGAGGTGGTAGCTCGACATTACAAATATTCACCAGATACCAGCCCACCCAGTGCTTTTTACTGGTGATGCACCAGCAATATTTCCTTTCCCACTTTGCTGCGGTACCTTCTATGCTGATGCTATCTGCTATCAATTGGTGAACAGCTGTTATCATTTATCATTTCAGCTGCCCACCCCATCCCATTGATACAAGACGTTATAATGTCATACCTCATAGACCGGTTAAAAGTAGAAAATGTAGGAATTCTCTCTTTCTTTTGTCCTACAATTTCTAGTATCCTACCACTACGTCATATCCCGATCACATGTAAATACCCATTTAAACCTCAACTCCCACTATCCTTTCTCTCTTGCCACTTTCTCAGAATCCATAATGTAGTTTATTGTGATGTAGAGTTAGAAAGAAGAACTCTTACCTCCTAAAGGCGGCCCAATTAGAACAGGACAACATTCCACAATTGTGACAAGTCCCACGGCGCTTGAAAATCTAGAGGCTCCAACAAGATCCATTAGTGTTTCAAAGAGCACACTGCTAACCATTCCAAAGGCAAATCCAAAAAATACTGAATATATCACCAGACCAGTGTAATCATTGGCAAAAGGACACAGAATGTGGCAAATACCATTATATAAAATGGCAAAGCAGAAGAAATATTGTATTCGTGGACGAACGAACCTTGAGTTTGCAACCATTCCCATTGTAGGTCTTGCAACCATATCTACAAAAGCTAGGATTGAGAGCAAAAATGCAGCTGAATATTCATCAATGCCCATATGCTTGGCATAGGGTGCCAGGAAAACAATAGGTGCAAAAAATCCAAGAAACATTATCACGTTTCCAGATAAATAAATTAAAAATCCTCTATGTTTAAAAAGTGATAAATCTAAATACTTGTTAATATTTTCACAGACAGTCAACTTCTTCTCTTTGCTTGCAGTCATTGGGGCTGCTGCTTTTTCAACATCTTTTTTTGTAGGCTTGGGTCCAATTGGTCTCATTAAAGAGCCAGCTACACAGCAGTTTAAAAGAAGACCCCCAAGTACTAAGAAGCTTCCTCTCCATCCAAAATAGTTGAAGAGAAACTGGTTAAGTGGAGCCAAGGTGCTTAAAAATACTGGACTACCAGCCATGGCCAATCCATTAGCAATCGGGCGCTTTTTGTAGAAATACTTCCCAATAATTGTTAAAGACGGTTGGAGGTTAAATGCTAAACCAAATCCTGGAAGAAATAAGACGAAAACAACAATTAATGATAAATGCATATATATTTTTACAGCTTTATATAATGTTATAGTTTTATTGCTATATATAACTTTACCAATGTAAAATTCATTTTAGGGAGGACACTAAAGACACCAAGACTATTTCAACTAATCATAGGTTGGGTGCAGAACCCCTGTGTGTTCAAGACAGGAATGTAAAACATTGACATATTTTTCAAACAGTAATATTTACATTTCAGGCATTACATACCTCTAGTGGTTGTCTTCTGCTATAACCGAGTTAAGCTTGGGTATAGATCAAATGCTGCACCTATATCAGCATTTGATTGGTGCACTGAGTCATTTTGGTACACATGTGCACTAGCCTCCCAGTGCTCTCCTATTTGAAAGCATTGGATTAACTGTGATCATCAGCATTGATTATATCAACCAAAGAAGAAGAGTGGTAGTGTGGAGACTGGCAGGAGAGGACTGAAAAGTAAGTAATATGGAGGGACACCTAGATAGGTGTCAGGACACTATAACCTGATGAATATATGTTTGTATACCTAGCACTATAGTGTTCCTTCAAAGCTCTTTATTTGTAACTAGACAATGACTTAAAGTGGTGAGGAAAGTGTAGCTAGGCACATTATGGGGGATAGAAAGTGCATTTCAACTGTGTCCTTTGCCATATCTACTTGTGCATGCCCATGAACATGGATTTAGTTAACTGATTGAGAAAATGAGGAATAAAAAAACCCCATAAATATCTTGGATGTTTACAGATTGCTTAACAGATAAAGGAAAGACATAGAGGAAGACAAACAGACAGAGTACTTAAACATGGACCTAGACTGCCTTACACTTGCTATTTTAGTATTTTAGATTGTGGGGGTTGTACCTATGATGAGACATCACTAGACCATGAAGGCTTTACACCACTTTGTGGTATTTTATCTTGAAGACCGTATTTTGAAGCAAGGGTTACTTAACAAAGACCAGGAACAATGATACATATCTTCCCCTTCTATCAAAGTAAAAAGAGGGAAGACACTGTACATAACATCATATCTGCCACCTCCATTAATTGCTTTGCAGAACACCAACAATGGAGGAACAGGACAAGAGAAATCACTGTGCTCCCACACTGGACCAACAAGGATTCCACATAATCAGCAGATGCTGTAGATACATTTAATTAAGTCTTATTTTCTCCCTCTTCTTCTCTTTAAAGTTATTTTCTAAAATTATCTAAAATTACTTCTTAACGATGACCTCTGACTAAATTCTGTCCAGCCTCTAAGTTTTGAGAAACATGATTTATTTGCATTTTTCTAAACACTGCAAGATGTTTAATTTATCACCCAAGTGCCTCATTACAAAGTTTTATTCAATATACTCTTACTAAAATACTGCATAATATCTGTACACCCCTCACTTTTTAGCAAACCTTATAAGAACAACTATTTATTGATCTACCTATGTACATTTGAACTTATAAACTGCATAAACAGAGCAAGTGCAATGTCAAGGCAGTAGGGAACTTTATAGAAAAGCATAGGGACAAACAGTGGGAGATAAAAAAGAAGTTAGAGAAGATAATAGAAACAGAGGTTGATGTTGATAAAAGAATGTATTCATTCTTCTATCAAAGAACCATGTTGCACTTTTTTTTACCAAAATATATAGACTGATCTTAGTTAGTTTTTATGAAGTCTTTTTATGATGTCTATGAGACAAGACATTCCAAAGCTACACATCTTGACCTGATAAGCTCTACCTCTTTTGTTTTCCCAATTTTATTCACGCTGACATGGACTGCCATAGGAAAAACTACTGTGCACATGTTTCTTATATCATCATCCATGGATCCAATGAAAAATAATTTTTAAAAACTCCATCTTTTTATTTTTTAAATTCTCTTAGGAAAAAAAAGATAATATTCATGTGTCAAAATCTACAGGTTAAATATATTATTGCATAGTTGTGAAGATAACTATATAGGTATCTACAGGTTAAATATATTATTGCATAGTTGTGAAGATAACTATATAGGTTTTCCTTTCTCTTGGTCTAGCAAACTCCTATGCCATCTTTCTAATCTTTCTTTGTCTCATACCATATCGCTCCCACCAAAAAATAAAACATTTATGGTAACAAAAGACTTTCGCACTCACCTCCAATGACACCAATGCATATGTACAGTTCGAGGACACTGTTGCAGAAAGAAGCAGATACCATCCCCACAGCACATAAAAAACCACCTACTAAAACCACAGGCCGACTTCCATATTTATTTACCAGGATGCTGCTTATTGGACCTAAAAAATAAATAATGTTATGAGATTTTATACATTTGAGAATATACAAACTAGTTACATAAATATAGCAATTCTGTCTACCTGCCTATCTGTCTACACATACCTTTCACTTTCTTATTTTGTGAAATATTATTTCAGCATAAAAATTATTTCACAAAATGGATTGCCTAAAGCCGAATAGATCAAATATCAAATATTCAGGAAATTTTAATCAAGTTAAATTATTGAAAGCAAGGTCAAACACAATTTAACCTTGCCTAGGGCATTTTATCAAGACACATTTCAAAAGAACAGGTATATATTTAAGGAGAAATTAAGAAAGCAAGTACCAAAGGGGAAACTGCAGAATATAATATTTCAAAATGCATCAAAATGAGCATATGCTTCTAAAACATCTTAGTCTGTGATGTATTTTAAGACTTGCTGGCCCGCATTGTATAGGAGAAATGTAAACCATTTTATAAACACACATGGAACTGATCATCATGAACTAATTGTGCTTCCAGCTATTTTCAGAAAAGCATTTTAGTTGTTTTCAATATTGATAATCCAAGACCTTTGTTATGTGAAGAAGAAAGGCTTTATGTGTAGGGACCAGGAATTGTCAATCACTTTAAAGATAATGAACTAAAGAACTGTCAAAGTTGTACTTAAACTTCAAAATAATGAGCAAGAGATGTCATACGAAGATGACAGTGGCCATTGTATTGTCTCCATTGTGATGTCTACATATCAACATTTCAAGACAGGTAAATGTAAATGTATTTACTTGAAAAATGATGCCAATGTGAAATGAAAGGAAGAATTAAATGATGAATATGGCTTTTTATCAGGACAATTCAAAGACTTCTTAACCACACATGCAAATTAGATGCTGAGAAGTACATGGCTATATTGAAAACCATTACAACGGGGGTCCCCAAGAGGTAGATCCCCAGCTGTTGCAAAAAGGCAATGGTCGTGATGCTTTGACAGCCTTAACATTGCCAGAGCATCATGGGAGATGAAGTTTTGCAGCTGCTGGTAATCTACCATTTGGACCCAGCTGCCAAACATATTTCTATAAATGTGGACAGAAAAATATAATTTCTTTATCTTGCTAAGAACATCACCATGTGTCCCTGCAGACATGCCTAACATTTGGCAGATAATTATAAACATTGGCTCTACTGAACCAATGGACCTATTGGAGCAAAAATATACAGCTGATAACATTGCTGCTCAGGAAGTGGTATGTTGGTTCTAGACAGCGTTCAATAACATTTTATTATGATTTTCAATATGGCTTTCTGTTTTGCCATATATTTTTATGAGTTTTATTTTAGTGCCCATGAGTTGTTTTAACAGTCAGTAAATCTATTGATGGGCAGTGTAGAGTTTCTCAATGCCCAGTGATGTGATCATCAGATGGGATTTTATTTTCTTCTAAAGAAAGCATTATAATTTGGCCTGAGTCATTTAGGTTCATCCATGCATCCCTCCACCCATCCGTTTACCCATACATCCAGCCATTCATCAATTCATCCATCTCTCCTCAAATCCATTAATCCATTGATCTATCCATCCATTTATCAATCCACCCATCCATCCCTCCATTCATCCATCAATCCATTCTTGCATCCATCCACCTATCTGTCTATCCATCCTTGGTCCATCCATCCATCTTTCCCTCCCTCTCTTCCTCCCTTCCTCCCTCCCTTGCAGTCTATCTCTGTCAATCAACAAATATTCATATATTATATATATATATATATATATATATACATGTATTTATATATATGTATATATATGTATATATATATATATATATATATGTATGCAATGATCTGAGTGTATGTAAAGTTCAATTTTAGCATGGTAAGGGAATACATAAACTGCAAAAGCATTTCTGTCAGCATACTAATGAACTGATTTACACAACAAATTTGTAACACTTTACATTGTAGACATTGATAAATGTCCTTTAGCATTCGAAAAAGTATCAGAATAAAACGCACTAAAACGACAGCAGAATTCTGACAAATATGACAATATAGAAGTGGCAAATACATGATTAATGTTAATAAAATATTAATTTTCATTTTAAACAAAAATGCACAAAAGTATTAGATTTTCAAAATGGAAATATTTCAAATGATAAGTTGTTTTACCAAGGATGAAGAGGTTTGCCTATAGCCTGTCCCTGCTGGCCTTTTAATGTAAACACTGCCTTTTCAGAGAAAAGGCAACATATATATTGCTGCCTAGTAACACCTCTTTCTATTGTTCCTCAGACGGCCACCAAAGATGCTTCCTATTCTAGTGCAGTACAGTGTGCAGCACCTATGTTAACATTCCTCATAGAGATGCATTGATTCATTGAGTCTACATGAGCAGATACTGATTGGCGTAGCAAGGTGTTTTGCTGTGCATGCGCAAGCATTGGATTGGCTGAAATCGTCAAGTGTGATGACCTCACCCATGGAAGTGTAGCTGGCTGGGGCCAGTCGTGTTGAGAAAAAAGGTAAGTAAAAACACATTTTTACTGCCATCTAAGGGGGACCAGGGCCCTAAATAGTTAGTTAAACACTATAGTGTAAGGAATACACTATTGTTTTAGGAATACATTTAAAACCAAACCCAGCACATTGGGCACTGGTCTATATTTTCACACCTTTCTTGCTTACAGTTTCCTACACAATGACAAGGTTTTTGCTTTAAGCTTTTTACAAAGTTTATACCTAATGTATGTCACTAACTAGCTTAATCTAATGTAGCCTGTTAACAGTAGGCATGTACTTGTTCGCAAAGCAAATAATTCTGACCAGCGCACAGCTGCCACTTCACACAAACTGGAGTAATTGCCAATAAAGCAGTAAGTTGCTGGCACTGTTATAATCAGTCCACTAAGCCATCTTGAGCCTCCCCATAGCTACGCATGAGTGTTTGCATACATTGAAGGCAAGCAGCAGAACTGTCTTTCTAATTGATGTTTTACACATGATCTATACCAGGGCCAGCTGCTGAAGTTTAAAGATGGCGGGGCGCTGCCCTCCTTCACCTGTTAGGTTTCACCCACTTTATTAGATGCTGGTTTTACCCAGTTCAAAACCAGCTGCATCCCCAGTGATAAATAAACACACTTTTCAGTAATCCTTTCAATGCCAATAGAGTTTTATTTTATTCATTTATTTTCATAATAACTTGGGGAGGCCACCCTACCTACCACTATTGGACCAACCTCCACTGACCTATACATTCCTTTGCTAATGGCATAGAAGTGCATGCTGTGAAATGACTAGTGGGCAACGGGAAGGGTAATTTTCTTTAATTCTAAAATTAATAATTGATATATTTGCTGGTAATTCTGTTGAAAAAATGTTAATGCCTTGTAGTTAAGATAAAGTTGTAGTAAAACTGACCAGTTTTTGTGTAACGGTTATTGCAGAAGTAATCTAGACTAAAACAGATTGTTTGTTGAGAAACAATAAACATTGCCCCCCCCCCAAAAACAAATCTGAATATTCATTTTTTATCTTTAGGAAAAAAAAATAATAATATCCCTTAAAGGACCACTATAGGCACCCAGACCACTGCAGCTTAATGAAGTGGTCTGGGTGCCAGGTCCAGCTAGGGTTATCCCTTTTTTTTTATTAAACAGAGAAACTGCTATGTTTATAAATGGGTTAATCCAGCCTCCAGTGGCTGTCTCTTGACAGCCACTAGAGGCGCTTGCGTGCTTCTCACTGTGAAAATCACAGTGAGAAGACGCCAGCGTCCATAGGAAAGCATTGAAAATGCTTTCCTATGGACTGGCTGAATGCGTGCGCAGCTCCTGCGCATTCAGCCGAAGAGGAGGAGAGGAGGCGGAGAGGAGGAGGAGAGCTCCCCGCCCGGCGCTGGAGAATGAGGTAAGTTTAACCCCTTCCTCTCCATCCAGCATGGCGGGAGGGGGACCATGGGACCTATAGTGCTAGAAAAACGAGTATGTTTTCCTGGCACTATAGTGGTCCTTTAATCTGATATCCATTAAGTGCTCACACTCAAAACAAAATTGTAGTTTCATTCTTATAATTTATCAGGCAAAAACACCCTAAATTAATTTTCCAGGGTTTTTATTTTTAGTGGATTATTAAAGGGAATTTTACTTATTGAATGTTTGTTTACTTATGATCTATATTTAGAAAATATGTGTTGGTGAGGTCTAACAAAGTTAAATTAACTCTAGAAATCTACACATCTCTCCTGGAATTCGTTGTCTTCAATTTAGCACCCTGTCAATCTGCATCATAAATGTTTTTTTTCTGTCATTGGACATAGTGGTAGAGGAGAAAGCAAAACAACGTTTTCTCTTTGTCATTTGCATGTTGTAGCATGTCTGTATCTGGACTGAACTATATTGTGATGTCCCTTGTTAAATCTTTAATATATATTTTAAAAGAAATGGAACAACATATAAGATGGTGAACTGATGTTATTGATTAGTTTCAATGTTTTGTTCAATAGTGTGATTTCCATATCTATCTATCTATCTATCTATCTATCTATCTATCTATCTATCTATTTATCCAAATCCAGATATCTATCTATCTTTCCATCCATCCATTGATCCATCCATTTATCCATCCATCCATCCATTGTCTCTCTGTGTTTATCTTATCTATCTATTTCTATTAACATTTATATTGTATTTCTCTTTCTGTGTAATCTATTTGTATTTATTATTTATTGGATTTTTGCTTAATCTATTTTCCAGGGGCAGACATAACACCATATGGATGACCAGATGGCTTATTGTAGGTTTAGAAAATTAATTCTCAATATGAAATAAGTAATACACATAATTATCATCTTTTTACATATTTGTTGTATTACATTTGTTTGTTTAATTCTGCAGTGATATGAATTACTGCTGAAGTGTATGTAAAAGTCTGCTAAGTTATATTTTAGCATGTTAAATGTAATACTGATGAATACGTTTAAATATTTTTATCATTTTCCAAATATTGCAGCAGATTCAGAAAGACATTTGAGACTTTCAGGGATGTTTAACATTTAAGATGTTGAGGTGAATCGCGTGACCGAATTTGCATTTGGTACAACTTTCGCACAAGTGTAAAAATTCTGTCTCACAAATTGGTTATTTGGTTCTGCAAGTATGTATCTTCAAGCCTTACTTAAGCAAAATGGAAGGGAAAGTAAAGGTTCTTAATCATGGAGTGAATGACGCTCCTTTTGAGACAGAGTTTCCTAACGGACTCTAGAGGTTATAGACCTAGCAAAGAATTAAATAAGTCTAGCAATTGGAAGGAAGGTCAATTATCCATAGGAGGAAGACAAAAATATTAAGGCGTGTTTAAGGGAAGTGGTAATACATTCTGAAGATTCCAAAACCCAAGTCCAAGGAGAGCATTTGTAAAGCGGCTATTGGACTTCTTCTAATACCTTCATCTCTCATTATGACGTGGATTTTAGAGCCTCAAAATTTTCTTGCTTTGGCAGAAATGTCTTATATTCGGTTTCCTCTAAATAAAGCATTTTTGTATTTTGCAGCATTTTGTGTTTAGTTGCCTTTTGTTTTTTTATCACTTTCATGGATTTAGTGTGGGTATTACCTTATGGTAATACTGCCATAGATTGTCCATGAACATAGAAAATTGTTTCCATACTTACCATAATTTTCTTTATCTGAACATATCCGTAGCAGTATGGATTTCCCATCAATGTAGACTGAGGATATACAAATCCAAGTGGTGTATTTAAAGGTTTTACTAATTGTTCTTAACAGCCAGATTGGAGGAGATAACCCTATGGTAATGCTACCATGGATATATCAAGGAAAAGAAAACTATGGTACATATGGAACCAACTTTCTATATTTCCTTCTTATGTGGCAATGGGCAATAGACTTGAGCATGGTGGAAAAATATGTTATGGTCGAAATACATCTATTGAAAATACAATATTTTTCAAGGCAGACAAATTTTGTTCATTTGGCAATTCAGTTCAGCTGATTTTAAGAAATATTCTGGAAAACAGATGAACCACAATTGAGCAAAAGTGGGTCAATCAGTGTACAGCAAAATATATACAAAATACAGGATACAGTACTTACAGTACACAGATCAAATGAGACAATTTAACTAATAGAGAAAAAAGAGGAGTAGCAGTAAAAAGCTTGAGCTTCTGCCTCTGGTGCAATGATGAACCCAGCGTGGTCGGGTAATGTGCCGATGTCGAAGTGTGCGGGGTAACTGAGGATAGGGGATGTCCACTGTGGATCGGGTAGGCTTTCTACCTGGAGCTAGGCCAGCACTGGGTGCAATAGGCATGATGTCTTGTGGGGCTGGTGCATCTGGTATTCGCTTGAGCGTATCAGTGGGAGTCAGCGTATGTGTGGAGTCATGTAATCTGCTAGCCAGCTTGGCCCAGATAACCCTCACCGGTGGGGAAGGGGGGGGACAGTGAGCCCAGCTACTAAGTGTCTGCCTCCAGGTAGGTCAGAGATCACCAGATCAGCCGTGTCCCAATGCCCTCGCCACTTGTGAGTCCACAGATAGGCCACCAGAGCATCTGCCACTGTTAATCCGTTATATAGGAGGGCAGTGCTGCTTCAACAGGTCTTATGGGACCAAATGTATGTAGAGGCAGTTAAGTCGTAGATTAGAAGTCCAAAAATTGTGCAGAATACTCAGTGCTGCACGGATCACAAGCAACATGCGAACACTCAGCTTGGCTGCCAGGCCCCGCCGCCTCAAATATATTTCTGCTCAGAGTTCTGGAATTCGAACAATCACAATTTAGACAAAATTAGGACAGCTTGCAGTTCTTAATTAAATTAATCTCCAAGTCTAATTGCTATTTTCCCTGGCAAACCAATTATCTTAGATTATTAAAAGTGAGAATTGAAGTAACCAGCAATATGTTAAAAGGACCACTATAGTGCCAGGAAAACAAACTCATTTTTCTGGCACTATAGTGTTAATAGGTTCCCCCCACCCTCAGAGTCCCACTCCCGCCGGGCTCAAGACGGGTTAAGGAGTTGAACATTTACCTTTCTCCAGCGTCGGGCTCCCTCAGGGCTGAGGACCCTCCTCCCTTTTCCGACGTCATCCGCCGAATGCGCATGCGCGGCAAGAACCGCGTGCATTCAATCAGTCCATAGGAAAGCATTTCTCAATGCTTTCCTATGGACAGCAGCATCTTCTCACTGTAAGCCTAATGCTTATTATAGTGAGAGAGTTTAGGTTGGGTTAACATTTTAATGGGAGGTAGCTGATGGACATCCCATGGACCCCTATAGAGAGGGTGTTTTTTATTGTGGCAAAAAGGACTCAGGACTCATTGATCCACTTGCTTTTCAAGGGACTTGATACTCAATAATCTTCTATTGGACTAGGTGCTTGGGGACCCTCTAGCCAACCATTCATTATTACCCTTCACCATATAGGACAAAGAGTGAAGGAAGGGGTAGGGGACAGTTTTCGGCATGTTCTTACCAGGCAGGTTGTTTTTACTCTCTATATCCCTTGCACAAGCAAATTAACCCCTTAAGGACAAAACTTCTGGAATAAAAGGGAATCATGACATGTCGCACGTCATGTGTCCTTAATGGGTTAAGAGCATCTGATTATTTACTGTTTATTTGAAGTACTTCTCAGTTTCTCTCACCTTTTGATACATGTGGACCAACTGTGAGTCCCTACAAATTATATTTTTTTCATTGTTACACAATGTATTTTAATGCAGGTACCTGTGTTTTCTTTGGTATTGAACCACTGACAGTTGGATAGCTGAAAGGGTTAAGATATGATCAGCCTATTTAAACATATCTTTACACCCCCTACACTCCTATTTTGTATCTCTTTATCTCTTTCTCTTTTGCAATAATACCAGCTTGTGGGTGTCAAGGCTCATTTTTTCCATATGCGAAGTTAAAAAACCACTAAGGTGGTCTAATTAAATTCATATTATTGCAATCCCAAAAAATAAAGAGGTTGAATATAAAATTTAAAAAACAAAGCATAATCTCACAAAATTCATTTATATCTCATTTATTTTAAGTCAGGACCTGATTGAGAATGTAAATGTTTGTTCAGCAAAAATCAATGTACATATAGCACAGGGACTTTAGCTACCTAAGCCTACCTCTATGTATAAATAGAAAATCTGGGTAAAAGTTCTCTAAAGGTGAACAATCTATGGGATGTTCTTTCTGTTTGGTCTTCTCGCAGAACTTTCACCTAGATTCAGTTTTAGTACACAACAACATAAATAATTCAGTAAAAGTCATTGATTTCTCAGGTGTCCACTTGCTGGTGTTAATTTTACATCTAGTGGTGTAAAGCTTAAGGTCTCACTAACTGAATGTCATCTGTCTGGTTACCTTGAAAATACTCTGAAAAAATCAATGTATGTGTAGCACTATGACCTTTGTTACTGATGTGTATATACAGTATATCTGGGTTAAAGTTCTCAAAGATGAGCAATCAATGTCATGTTCTTGTTAGTTGATCTGCTCTCAGAACTTTCACCTGGATTTGCATTTAGTAAACACACATCTCAACAGCACAAGCCATACAGTCAATGGCATTGAATTTCAGGTATAGAATAACCCACTTTCTGGTATTATTTCTACATGTTGTAGTACCATGCATTAGAGTTCACTTATAGAGTGTCACCAGTCTGATGACTTAGTTTAGCATTACTGGACATGCAGTCATCATAAAAAAGAAAACATTAAAAAAACTCAATGATCTCTTCTCTGAAGCTAAAGGGAAAAATAAATTATTTTGGTTGAAGAGTTGTGATGACAGGGCCCTCTCATGGGTGGAGAATTATTTCAACAATTCGGAGGGCACCCTCTGGCCAGTTTGAGATATGACTATCTGTGGACTGCCATTGGTTTGCCATTTTCCAATCCCTACCCAGTTTTTTATTCTCTACAACAACCCCCCAGCACATGGGTCAAAGAAGAATGGCTAAATTGAACTTATGTCTCTAAAATACATAAACTATCGCAATCAGCAAAGGATTCATCTTTTTCAGGTAACTGTGAATCTTTGTCTGGTTGCTATGCTACTAGGAAAATATACCTGTAATAATATTTGTCCTTTGAGGACTGCAAACACAAAGAATCAGTCGTGCCCAATCAAATAATCATTTTTTATTCATTTTTTGGGCATGATTATTGCCATTTATCTTATTTTATTCACTGCTCTTTAGGTTTTGTATGAAGTCTTTTATAAGCTTGTCTCAGATCATTTAGCAAACAAATAGAATTGCAGTATCTATTGTTAAAAACCTTAGGCAAATAGACTTATCATTACTGTATTATACCGGATAAATGTTTTACACGGTGTAGCATCCTGGTGTATAATTTATCATGCTTTACAGTTCTCCAGTAGTGTTATGGTTCCATTAGAAAACTACAAAACATGAACTTTTACAAGTCTTTACTGCCATAGGCAACAAAAAGTACGCAAAATGAAGGGGGGTGATATCCAACTGTGGACCATTTAATATGGGAAAATTATGCCATTCAGGACTCTTGAGCTATACATGATGAGACTAAATATGGATCATGTATAAGAAAATTATAATTTGCCCGTCATTAACTCTTTAAATATCTAAGTAAATATAATAAGCCTAGGTTACATCATCTAACACTTGTAAAGCGTAAAAAACTTTTTTAAAAAAAACAATAAATGGGTTCGCTGACCACTAGGGCTACTAACAGGCTTTACAGATTCATATCTATCTACACATCAACTGTAAGATTAATTTTTTTCTAATTTTGTCAGTTTGAAAGGGATAAAAATTACTACTCTAAATGAAAACTCAAAGGCTTCTCTAAATGAGATTACATTAATTTATCTAGGTGAAAAAAAAACTCCAGATTAACTGGTTAAGACTACAGCTACTTGTGTAGATAATTTCTAACATCTGCTAGAAATATTTTAATAATAGTAGTTAAAATGTTGCAGCCAAAAGACTCAAATTCTAACCCAACAGATTTAAAAGCAACTCATACAGACCAGTGAGTATCTGTATGTCTACAGAGGGTTAGTTACATTTAAAAAAATGAATCACATTTTTATTCATCCATGAGAAATAGTTGACTGAGAGAGATATATTGCATTATGGAAAGACTTTCAGAGATATTTCTTGGTAGGTGAATGCAGGTAAATTTTTTCATTTAAGTTTAAAGTTATTCCCATTTAAGTTTAAAGTTATTCTCATTTAAGTTTAAAGTTCAGTCTGTCTAGACAGGAGAGGTGAATGGACCACTGGGTTATGACTATATTACATTTAGAAGATTCTATAACATTATGTATTAAGAGATATATGACATATTGAATGAAAGATCAAGCCATTGTTTGGAGGTAGTACCAGTTCTTCAGAGTAAGAGATTAAAGATTGAAGAGGGCATCTTGCAGAAATTGGTGATAAGAAAAAGGATGGAATTGATAGTTTCTTGAAAATTTAGTTTGATGACTGTGTGGGTTTGTATCAAATGATCCGTGAGATCAAGATAAGTGTATGTTGTTGTGATTACTTTTTTGCCTATAGTTTGAATGAATAAGTAGATTGTCAATCTTTTAATAAAGGAGATTGAATGAGGGCATCAAAAAATAATTAGTTGTATGAATTGTCACAAAAATGTATATCTGCCTAATTCTAAAATGCTCATATAGAAACAAAGGGAGAGAAAAGCCACAGATCCTGCTCTGCAGAGGATAAGGTGGGGGTCAGACTCTTCTTTCAGAGACTCAGAGACATGGAATGTAGTAGAACAATATTGTTGAGTAAAACTGAAAAAAAAAAAAATGCATTTTTGGCTTATGCTAACTCTTGTAGACACAATGGATTTATACAATGCATTCCCAGTCGATTTTCTAAGAAGGTCTGTTTACGGCTGTAACTTGCCACTTACTGCATGTTTTCTTCTGACATCATTCAAACTAGGTCCATAGCCCAAAATTGTGAAGTATGGTCAGATGTGAGCCTTGAATTTTAGTAAAGAGCATAAACCTTTTTTTTTCCTACAGGTTTAACAATTTTTTACGAGTACTCTGCATTATCTAAATACAAGTAATTGCCCTGATAAGATGCATTATAACCGATTGATTTCAGAAAATCATTGTCAATGGAATTGTTCATTCTTAGCGAAAATATCATTATACTTATGTTCTGCAAAAATATTGTTAATTTTTTCTCATGATGAGGCATGGTATATGCGACGAATATCAACTAGCAAACCAGGGTCTCTAGGGCAGACCTTGTCCTTTTTTTTGATCTATCACTGCTGTTTTCAGCCACTTTTTGTGACAGTGGAGCAATATTTGTTTTCTGGAACATCTCCCTTCCCTGCCCTCATAGAAACAATGAGACTTCCAAAACAACTAATCAGCTAAATTCCAAAATATTTACATAACGTGTACTAAAATAGTAATAGATATTACCTATATAATGGATCATTTAATAGCACAATGATCACATTCCAAACGCAAAAAACATATTGAGGAAGATGGGATTTACCTCCTGCATACATAACAGCCAACATAATTGAAGATATCCATGCGATTTCACTGTACGAAGTGTTGAAGATCTCTTGAATCTCCTTGAAGAACACTGTAATAGCTTTTGGAAATGCATACGAGAACCCAATTGAAATAAAGGCACCAAAGACTACAACCCAGCCCCATTCTCCATCTGGAGGGGTGTGCTGTAGTGTCACTGGCATATCTGGCATCTTTCAAAAATGTATACCCTGTAAGATAAAAGGGAAATATATTTAGAACATGATAACAGTCTGTTATATGACAGCAAGAACAGGTTTTACATTGAAATATGTGGGGGGAAAGAATTCTGAAAAATACCTTCAAATTGATTTGATTGCCCAAACCCAATTTCAATTTAAATTACATGGAATCAACATTGGAAAGTCTGATTTATTTGAAAATGAATCCCACCAAGTCACATTTGAAGTTGCTGTTATATGGTTTATTTACTCTTCTAAGACAACCATCAGGGTAGCCATTAAAAAAAGAAAAGTAAATAATACATTGGCTCAGTTAACAAACACTCAAGTTACTGCTAATTAAAGTGCTTTCTGGGAACAATTATTAGGAGGGTTAAGTGGTATTATTGATTACGTTATGGGTCTGACTCTCTGCCTGTTTAATGTTGGTTCCACACCCTTTTACCCCTCTCTCCTGGTATTCAACTTTCCGGTTGCTTGGTTACAGAATATACCAGGTTGCTCTACTAGCCATTTAACGTATCACTTCTATGGTAGTTAGAAGTGATCCCCTACATACATAATAGATCCCATATAGACACACACTGCACCACCTACACACACACTACATTCCTGACATGCACACCCTGAATCCCCTATGCACACACAAGATCCTCTGTACTCAAAAACACAAACTATGTTCCCTAAACATACTCCCTACACCCTTTTACACACACTACATAAGCAATACATATATACATACATACACTACAGCCTCTCTGCACACATTTGCTACATCTCTTAAACACACTATGACCCCTACACACACACACACTCGCTCACTCTCTATAGCCCCTAGCCACACATTTTACACCACAAAAACAAAACAACTGAAACAACACAAAACACCACACCACAATCAGCTCACTCTACACACTGGTTATCCCACAAGCAGCCTCCAAACACATGCTTACCCTATCCTACTTCTGAAGACACCAGAGACAAGTCACAAGCAAACACAGCTCAAGTGTTTAATTAGATCCAATTGCACTGTGCAGATTGGACACAGGGACTTTTTTTCATGCAAGAGCTCTTCAGCAGGGCTCTGCGCATGGTCTGCCCTAGAAGAGCATTGAACCAACATGCTCACTTTGAGAGGGGGCGTGTTTGTCATTGGTGATGTGGCATTCCATTCTCAATGGACCACTGTGATTAAAAAATGCCTGAGACAACATTTTTTCCCAAGCCTGGCCCTGTTCATAGGTCTTGTGGAATCAATGCCTTGACACATCAGAGCTGTTTTGGCAGCAAGTTAAGGACCTGCAGGATAAATTATGCTGTGGCCGATCAGTGTATGGATATATTTCTTTATATACTATATATATTTTATAAAAAAACTTATCCGAATATATTAAATCAAGGCCTATATTCCTATCTTTCTCCCCATGAATCACTTTAACAGGGTTATTTTACCAAAGTTAATTTCAGATTGAAAGCCAGAGTAGCCAAACTGAAAGCGTGGCTAACAGATTTTTCACCCCCCCCCAGATCGGCTACCCTTTGAATTCACTTAGAAGTTTCACCTTAGTAAATAACCCTGCAAAAAAAGTGAATATTTTCAAAAGCATACATGATTACATGCTAAAGTGTGAAGTGTTGGGTTTTCAAAGTAAATTCAAACTTAATTTCATATTTAAGTCAAAATATGAAATTTAATTTTCCAATTTGTCCAGTGTCTCCTAAATTTTGACATTGGCTTTTTAATTCATTTTGAATTCCTGATTATTCACACTTTATTGACTAATCTTGTGAAATATAAATCCCACTGCCTCAGTGGGATTTATATTTCACAGGATTAGTCAATAAAGTCAGTTAAAGGCAGTTCAACAGTAAACTGAAGTGTGTAAAACCCATCATGTGAAATCTACTGGATATTTTTCTTTTTTAAATATATATTTCGATTGCTACGTCTTTTAAAGCAAAAGAAATATTAATGTATTTTTCACTCTACATTTTTTATGTTGCCTTTTTTATTCCATAACTGCATGCACTACCCGTCCAAAATCTAACAGTATGATAACGCAGCTGATTACATTTTGGGAACTAGGCTGAAAAACCTGCTCCCTGTAGAAATTCAGTTGATATAAGCATTAGCACGTTTGAGCTGGTTTTCGTAGGCACTTAAGTTACCAAATAAAAATGTGTGAAAATGCATGTTCAAAGGAGAAAGAGTGCATTCTCTAAATATTATTAAAGATACCGGAAGCAGCACATGACATTCTAAAAAAATCCATCAGCTTACAGTAGTACTGCACATCTTCAGATAATCATTATGTATAAGAATTTCCCCCCCGCCCCAAAATAAAAATCAGGGGAGTGCAATTTGAGATATTTTTCTTCAGTTCCGTTAGTTGCTGGGTCTCTGTCTGCCACCTCTGATGTCATTATATTGGGGAACCTAATGTGAATGCATGGTGAGTGGCACACGTGCATTAGACTTTCCTATCCTCATGCAATTTCTGGTTTGTGAATGTAGGGATGTATGTGTGGAGTATCAGTGTGAGTGTGAATGCAGGGGCATATGTGTAGATTATCGGCGTGAGAGTGAATGCAGGGATGTATATGGGGATCGTCGGTGTAGACTGGCTAATAGCATGCCTCCACTCATGGGCAGCTGCCTCTGCTGCCCAAATGGGAACTCAATAAAAACAAATTTTTTACAGCCTAGATGAGGCTACCAATGAGGGTGAGGATGCCTGCAGAACTAAACCCATTACAGAATTAAATAATTTTTCTCCATATTTTATTTGGCTGACCACCCTCCCCTCCAATAAAAGAATCTTAGTGTGTCTAAACTACTGCAAATCATATTTTTTTCCCTACATAAATATTGGTGAGGTGCTGCCCCAAATGGCCCTTCGAATAAGACTACGCTGCTACAGCATAAACATTTTATAAAGCACAGGAAAGCAATTTATTGTGCTGCCAATACAACATGAAGAAATTATATGTGTCTACATAATATTATTTATTTTTTTATAAACTAGTGGCATTTAAATATGTTAAATGAATTCCTTTAAATACCTTCATGATATCTGTAAACAGGATAGTGTATTGTTTTCTATTTTTATATACTTTATATAAATGAAATATTTGATATAATTCTGCTTTCATGCTAATGCTAACATTTTGGACATTGTTTAAAAAAAGTACACATATTGTCTACCGAAACATATACTTAATAAAAACTGTATTTCTTTTAAGCAAAAAAATGTAATTGTGTATTTATTTATTTTTAACGTTACCCAAAAAGCATTTTACTATTTATATATTCTATATTTGTTAACTATTCTGTTTCAAATAAATGGTATCCTGTTTTTTCTTACTTTTTAACCTTAGTATTTATCGGGTTAAGGCATTTATATTATGTTAAGTTTGTTGGTAGTAATATTAGGTTTACATTTTTTTAAATCTCCAGAGTTAATATGCTATTGCCCGACTATATTTGTAGGTAAGTAAATTCTCCAAATATCAGCTGACATGTCAAACCTGTCCAAGAGGAAGGCATGTGATTAAGGTTTACATATTCAATGGCATGACTTCTTCCAGCTTCAGGGCTGGGCTGATAGTACTGCAGGTGGTGAAAGTCAAAAGTGTCACATTGCCTGTTAATCATTAGACAGAACAAACAATTATTAGGAGTAAGTTGCCCTTTAAGATTGAAACACATACATCCTAATTGAAATTAGTTTGAATTAATGATTGTAAAATCATTTCGGCTTCTCTCTGGGAAAAATAAATAAATAAATAAATAAATAAGTAGGGGAAAGAAAATTTGTGAAGGTCAGATGCTGTATTTTTTGGCAGCTTAAGGTCCATGTATTTACCAGAGTTTGTGTTACCGGCTTACTATGTTTCCAGGTAATTTCATTATATCTAGCACTAAACATCAGTACAAGGTCATTTAGAGAAACACTCCAAGTAACATAACCACTACAGATCATTGTTGCTGTTATGGTGCTAAGAGTGCCCTGGTGCCTTCGCATTGTAAGTAGTCTACCTGTTTTAGAACTGTTTGACTCTTTTCCTGGTGTTTGCCGGGTGCAGTTCCTTCTTAAAACTTTCAATTAGCTCTCTGGTGTTAAGCCCTGCAGTGCTGAGAGTCTGATTGTTCTCAGCCAATGAGATAAGAGATAAGCCCCACAACATCTTTATTTTTATTTGTTCAATACATTGATGATGGATCAACGGGCGGGTGGCTACAGGAGTAAATAATCTCTTTTTACAATGTATTGTTAAGTTTCTCAATTTACCATGTCATATCAAATATGCGTGTGATCGATAAATGGATCCAAAGAAGCACCTGTTTGGATACAGTCCATGCTTGGTTAAAAACATAAGGATACATTATTACATCCTATGGTTCCTTGAGGCCATGACCCAAAGTTCTGCTCCATCTTGCTGATTGTACCATTGATGCAGAACAACTAATAAATTATACAAGTAGAAAAGTGTAGAGTAATGACCATCTGCTAGAATATATCAATACCATGCATTAGAGCAGGGGAAGGCAACCTTCAGCACTTCAGAGGTTGTGGACTAAATCTCCCATAATGCTCACAGAACCACAGGAAAAGCATCATGGGAGATGTAGTCCACAACATTTGGCATGCCAAATGCTGCCTACCCCTGCATTAGAAGATTGAGACAGGCATACTATTCAGAGCTTGTGGAATATAAAGCAGGAGTGTGAGTTTTTAGACAACTGGTTTGATTTTTGCCTTTGGCTAAAGGCTTTAGAGTAGGACTAGACTCCATGTCTGTTCTGGGGTAAAGGTTGGCTAGAGTTAAAATTGTTAAAATAAGTGTAGGGAAAAAGTAATGACAAAAAACTGAACTGGAAACAGCTCTACCATTTGAGAAAACATTTTGCGAGTGACTTAAATAAACCACTGATTTAATTTGTTTAACAATGTCCAAAAACTTGAGATTGGTAGCTGCCTAATATATTTGCTCTCAAATGCCAGATGTTTGACAAGCAAAAAAGAAGACCTAGAGATACTGGCAAGTGATGAACTAAAAGATTTCATTGTCGATATTGGAACACGGTGATATTTTATGCATGGCTGTGCAGTTAATTTAACCAGACTTTAGTAAGAACAGAGTAAAACGCAACATAGATAGGGCACAATTATACGTCAAACTCAAATTAAAGCCTAGTATATTACAATTACCCGATTCTTGATTAAGATATTGAAACAAGTAGTTCAGTGAAGGGGAACACATTTGTGAACCAGCTAAACTGGTTCATATCTTAGCTATAATATATGCCTGTATGGACCTAGTAATAACTCATAATTTAGCGTTTATGTCAAACATCCAAGTAAGAGGATAAAAGAATTAAGTGGAATATTGCAAATGTTACAAAAATAAACTTAACAACATTACCATGGGGTAACGAAAAATAAAAGAACCTAATTAAAGTCAACATAGCTTATCAAAGATATCATTAGGGAAATAATAAGTAGAAAGTGGCATTTAAGATATAGCAACAAAATAAATCAACAGTATAATGTAGGGAATACAAAGAAATACCGGAAATCTGCAGAATTGTAATTAGATTGCCTAAATAAGAAAACAAAACAAAAAATAACCATAGGGAGTATGTCAAATCAATTCTATTTTTCAAGTCTATTAATGGATAAAGTTAAAGATAAAAAAAATAATCAATTGAAACAAGAAATAGAAGAACTGGTAACATTAAATTAGCCAATATCCGAATTACTGACAATAGATGAAGTACAGATGCAATTAAGCAACATATGTTGTATATTTGAATTATTTGTGTTTTCTTCACTAAACATCAAATTGCAAATACAAATAGCAAAAATAAGGCTGAAGCAGCCAAGGTAACTATAGCTCAGGTTAAGAACATATTCAGATTAGCCAATTTTGCTCCAATTTTACAAATAATATCACAATATGGTACAATTCTGAGTTTAGAGAATATATATCTCTTGAATAATCACAACAATATTTTCAATCTTTCTATTTTTTGGTCCTTATAGAATACAGAAAGATGTGTGAGTTTTACCTCTGCGGAAATTATTTAAAAGGTTGCAGGGGCGGATCCAGAACCGAATCACGTGAGGGGCACTTGAAGATTATTTACAGGTACAATGCAGGCACAATAACCACTACAGCTCTCTGTAGTGGTTATGGTTTCAGGAGTGCCGTGGCGCCCTCCCAGAGTAAGCAGTCAAACTGTTTAAAAAACAGTTTGACAACTTACCTGGGGTCTGCTGGGATAGGGCCTGTAGCAGGAAATAGGGGCACTAATGTGTCTGTGCGAGTTGTGCAATGTCTGTGTGTTTGTGTGTATGGGGTGCAATGTATGTGAGTGGTGCAATGTGTGTGTGAGGAATGCAGTGTGTGTGTGATGTGCAATGCCTGTGTGTGATGGGTGCAGTGTCTGTGTGGGGAGGCAGTATGTGTGTGTGTGAGAGGGGGGCAGTGTGTGTATGGAGGGCAGTGTGTGTGTGCGTCGGGGGTGCAGTATGTGTGTGTGAGGGATGCAGTGTGTGTATGGGGGCCATGTGTGTGTATGTAGGGCAGAGTTTGTGTGTGAGGGGTGCAGTGTGTTTATAGGGGCCAGTGTGTGTGAGGGATGCAGTGCATGCATGGGGGGGGGGCAGTATATGTGTTTTGGGACACATCAAGTATTCCCTGAGTGCAGAGCAGTCTAACCTAGTGACAGTTTCTATCACTCTCTTCCTGCAGAAACAGTCCATTTCAATTAGGGACAGCAGCATGCAGACAGAGACTGTCACTCACTGATCGTAGGCTCAGGCTGCCAGGGCAAGTTGAATTATGCTAAAGTAGTAGTCACTAATTGAGTAACACCAGCTAGATGGGCTCAGGCCATGTTAGTGAACTTTTAGTGATACTATGACCAGCGTAGTGGCCACATGCAAATTGAAGCTCTAGCCTCTGCCTCTAACACCAGCTAGCTTGGCTGGGGCCATGTTAGCAAACTATTAGACTAGTGACACTATTGCCGGCAGGCATGGCAGCTTGCAAATTGAAACTCACCTGGCTCAGAACTGTAACTAGTAACTCCACGTTCACGCCTCCAGTTGCAGCTCCCCCATCGATATGCCCTGCTCTCATTACTGTGCTGTATTCTCGAGGGGGGGGAAGAGGTGGGGATGAGGGCAATTGCCACATTGCCACATTGCCCCCCCCCCCTCCTTGGGTCCGCCACGGACTCAGGGTTAAGGAATTTTTTTTAATTTTTTTTTAAACAGTCCAAATTAATTGAATACAGACCTACTATATAAAATGAACTTACCTGCCTTGTATGAATAAGTAAAATATATAACAGAGCATATCAGTGGATGTGAGCTTTTAACATTTTGCTGTTTGATGTAGTTCCATGGAACACATAACAGTACAAACATAAAGAGACTTGGAAAACAAGCTTGCACTTGGATTTAAAATGGATTTAAAAAAAAAAGACCATAGAGAGTTGTTAATGGAAAATAGATTTACCTACAGCAGTAAAAAGGTTCTTTATTGTAAGAAAAACAAAGTTACAGAATTCACTGTGTTGAGAGGTAGTGTTGTTACATTTAATACTTGGTTTTTAAAAAAGGGGTCTAGATTCATTTAATTCCTCCACTCCTGAGCATGTTTAATTGAAAATATATTAGCATAATATGTATTTGAAGAATGGGTGCATAGTTAGAATATATACATATTATAACTCAGCAGTTTTTGTGTATGTATTATTTGCAGATACATGTAAAAATTAAAATTTTGTAAATTTATACAAATTTTATTTTTAACTTATTTGTTAAGCCTTTATAAAAATGTTTGTGAAAAGCTGTAGATAGTATACAGTGTCCTTCATCTTTCAATATTTTACACAGCGTCTGAAATGTTAGTATAAAAGCAAAAATGCATAGAAGTAACAAAAAAAAAATACATAAAAATGGTCAAATATCTTGCTTATAGGTATTTTTAAGGACCTTGAAGGCATTAATAGCAGAGCATCTTATTAAAAAGGGAAAAAAAAATTAAAATAATGTCTGCATTTAAACATAACCCTATCATACAGCAAATATAGGTTAATCATATATTTCTAAAATAAAGATATTTAAAACTTTTATATGATTCTTTATCAATTTCTGAAATGCTAATATAATATTGACAGTGAAATGGTAGAGTCCATTCACTTCTCCCCTCTCCCTGACTGTAGGAATGAAATGACCCATTGAAACGTTCTTTACTGTTTGTAATCTTACATTTTCAGCACATTTGCAGGCCTTATATCAGTGACTAGTGGCTTCTTACAGAGACATTTGTTCTTCTACTGGATGGCCATCAAAACTTGAGTCTAAAAAGTGTCAGCAAGGCTGTAAGGACTAGATTTTACTTTGTAAGATACATGAAAATAAAATATATACTTGATTTATTCTAGAACTAATATTAAGATGATCAATGTAGGCCATGTTTTAAGGCAAATTGTTTGTAATTTTGCTAATATGTTCAGGAGAATGAACACATGCAAAACACAATGGGATTTTTATCTCTGAAAATAGAAATGTAGTATATGTGTGACAAACTGCTGTCATTAAGTATCATGCCCACTGCTTATTCATGTGTTTTTTACCTTGCATTATGTGTTCCTACTTGTATTCCATGTATTGTGCCTGTTTCCCCATTCTGCAGCGCTCATACGAACAGAAACCGTTCTTATCTCTCTAAGCACCGTGAGCAAGGGGGTCCACATCTGGATTACCCTTTAAACTTATGGAGAGCAAAAAACGGGTCGCAAGAGTTTTCTGAGAACGGACAGCAACTGAAATAGCCTGCCCTTCGGTGGGTCCCCGCTGAGAACTCAAGCTGGTTTTAGCTCATCTTGTGCCATTACAGAGAGAACATATCTGAAGCATATCAGACTGGTCCCACCCATACGGGCAGTCCATTTCTGAAATGCCAGCAAGTTCCCTCTGCACGAGAGACACAGCAACCCCAGCTAAAACCAGCTTGAGAACTGAGCGGGCATCCACCGAAGGGCAGGCTATTTCAGTTGCTGTCCGTTCTCAGAAAACTCTTGCGACCCGTTTTAATTGAGCGGTTGTCTGTCCTCAGCACTCTCTTACGACTTGTTTTTTTTGCTCTTCTTAAGCTTAAAGGCTAATCCAAACATGGAACCCTTGCTCTTGGTGCCTAGAGAGATATCAGCTATGCCTTACTGATGATGCCTAACAAGGCTGAAACGATTGTCTGGGGCTGCTGGATCTCTCGTGCAGAGAGAGCCGGCCTGTATTTTGAATCTGTTCTGCCCTTTTGGGTGGAATCAGTCTGAGATGCATGGTCTGCTTCTCTTGGTAATGGCACAAGATGAGCTAAAACCAGCTTGAGAATTGAGCGGGGATCCGCCGATGGGCAAGCTAATTGAGCTGTTGTCCATCCTCAGCACTTTCTTGAGACTTGCTTTTTTGCTCTCCATATATGTAATGTGTTTTACGGTTGTAATTATTGTGCAGTATGTATCTCTCAGAGCGGGAGATGGTTATCTGTAAACCATCGCTGTCCAGCCTGGGATTGTATTGAACAGGATGGAGACCCCCAAAAGGATTGTCAGTGTTGTACCTCCAGAGCTGTGTGTCGTCAAGTTACTCAGGGGGAAGGGTCAATCCCTAGGTTAGCTGTTCCAGCGTGTGGAGGATGCAGCGGGGAAAGTCCTTGTGAGGACTGAGTAGCTCCCAGGACTGTGTGCCACTGCCATCCAGCCCCTGGGAGAAAACAGAGCTAGTCCCCTTCTCAGATCCAGCTAGAAAGCGGACCCTTGTCGGAGGAACCCAGCCGGGATACAGGGAGCTCTGCCACAGTAGAGAGCTGAATTGCAAAATTAAGGCCAATATATCCCAGCTGGGACTCTAGACAAGCTGGGGAATTTTCCTAGATCAGTGATTTAGGCCTGAAGTTTGCAGTTTGGTTGTAATGTATTACAGTTTGAGATGTTCAGTGAATAAATAGCAGTGACTCGTAAAACAGTCATAGTGAATTAAAATCACTTGACAAGCAAATTGCTGTCAAAACAATCATATTGACTTCAAGAAGATAAATTCCATAAACAAAGTAGCATATTTGCAGTCACAATTCACACACGTCAAGAGAAATAGAACCATAGAGCAAAAAGATCAACACTCTGATATGATTTAAAGTCACTGCTTATTTTCATACCTGGCAATACCAAAGGTTTAACCTTGAGTTTTCACTTAAATCTTAGCATCTCAAGATGAACCGACAAATTCTCAGGGTGACATGCACTCAGAGGAAACTTTTCCAGCAGATATGATTGGACATGAACCTCCATCAGGGGCTGTGATATGGTTACTATTTTTGAAAAACTGAATGTCCACTAGACTTTACTAGAACATTCATTATGGGACAAATCACCATTTGCCCGAATTTGGGGTAATTGGCCATTCGGCTTAAAGGACAAATTCCGAATTGGCTTTGACGAGTCATGAAACAGTTGAAATGAAGAATGGATGAGCTGTTTCGTTTGTTTTGTGACTTGAGTGCCACCATTTGCCTGTTGGCAGTACTAGACTGCTGCTACATTAACAAACATTACAATAAAAGGGTTACTGCATACAGTTTAAAGCTTTTCATAGCCCAACATTTTTTATTTCTTTTAACTTTTTTTTTTTTTTTAAAGCAATCTATACATATATTTGCTGTTTATTATATGTTTACATGCTGGCTACGCAAAACACAATTTTAAAACTGAATTTAAAGTGGTTTCAAAATAAATATTTAAAGGGATACTACAAGTGTACACTATAGCTACCTCTGCTTCTCATGTCCATTGTACCCCCTCCGCCCCCCCAGGTAAACAAAAACCCTTTTATATACTTGCCTTATCCCATCGATGCTCTGCCCCCTCCGACGTCCCACGACGAGTGAGTGCTAATGCATTAGACCTCCCCTTAGGAAAGTATTGTGCAGCACTGCCCCAGGAAGCACCGTTAGTAGCCATATGAGGAGTGGCCAGTGGAGGTGTCCCTAGGCTGTAATGTAAACACTGCCTTGTCTCTGAAAATACAGTGTTTAATACAAAAAGCCTGCAGGGACTGACTATTTTCACCAGAACAACTACATTAAGCTGTAGTTGTTCTGGTGACTATAGTGTCCCTTTAACCCCTTAAGGACACATGACATGTGTGACATGTCATGACTCCCTTTTATTCCAGAAGTTTGGTCCTTAAGGGGTTAAAGTATTAAATCATTGATAAAAATAAATATGGAGAAAAAGTGGAAAAGGGTTCATATAAACTGTTAAAAAAGAATTCTGTTCAAAAAGCTTTGTAACTTATAAATTGAAAAACAACTTTTATAGTAAAAACATTTTTACAACAAATAGACTATAACTATATGAAGTAAAAAAAGAAAAGAAATTAAGACATTTTTTTTTTCTTTGGGATGCTATACACACAGAAGATCAGACAAAATCAATCACATAACCTGCAGGCACAAAACAAGCTCTGTATATGCAGTTTTAGGTCATTTAAATAACAGCATTATACTGGTTTCAACTAAACTAAAAAAGTCTACCAACCACTTAGCCTTCTCATGACTTCTTTACACCTTTGTTCTGAATCTTATCTTGTGAGAATTAAAAAAAAAAAAAAAAGTATACGTGCACACTGCTCTTTGGTTCACAGATCAAGTTTGAAAAATCAAATTAGAAATAAAATATATATTTCAGGCGAACCAATTCGCCAAACCAAATATTTCCTCCGTATAGTCCTTGTTATATCCTAATTATAGCTATTAACATGCCCGTTTTAAAAAAATAACATTATTCAAGTTTAACAATAAATGAGGTTTTGTGGCAGCACATAGCCCAGCAACCACTGGAGCTGTGGCTAAGTCAGAAATTATACTCTTTGATACCATGATATACCAGCAATGGACAGCTGTCATAGACTGAAATCAGTCAGCTGACACTATCAGCCAGTAACCACTGCTCGTTTCTGTTCGGGGTAATGCTTCCTTGTTAGCCTAAGCAGTACAGAGAATAAGGTCTGCTGAGAATGATTGTTTAGTGTTAAACAACTAAAAATTATTTAACACTGGATGAAAGTACAATATCTACAGAGGCCCCTTTAATTTTGTATGTTTAATAAAGACACATAATAAGAGAATATATATATATATTTATTTTCTTCCTTGAAAAGATTAGTGAAACAGATTGTTCTATTAAGAGATTAAATGGCAATTTTTAAGTTTAGAAAGTGGTTGTACAAGTTGAAACTTGTAGGGTAAAGTGTCATCTAACTAGTTTTCTCACTTCATATATCCTAAAAGCTTTAGTTCCTGTTTTCAGACCCAAATTATTTACGTCTTAACCTTTTGTACTTAAGGAACACCATAGGCACCCACACCACTTCTTCTCATTGAAGTGGTCAGGGTGCAGTGTCCCTGTCCCCTTAAGCTCTACCAGACAGCCACTAGGGGCGCTTCCTAGTGTTTCCCATGCTTGCACATTAGGTTCCTCCCATCAGCTGACGTTGGAGGAGCCTGACTCAGTGCTGAGGTTAAGTAAGTGCCTAAAGGGTTGTTTAAACCTTTCATGGCTCGGGGAACCGGGTAAGATGGATGTCGACAGCTCCCTGAATGCTCTCTGTTTTTAAGGTTTTCACTGCCTGAGCTCTCTACACATAGCCATCATCTGTCTTCATATGCCAAGTGTAGTGTTCACTATGGTTGAACTGCCCTGATGTACCTGCTATGAATGCATGTCATGTTCATAACTATTAGACAGGGATCAGGAGCAGCTATATCTGGCATGTTGTGGGGAGCACTTGCCTTTGCGCTTCCTCAGGATATGCTCCTGGCTTGATTTCATATGTTATTCTATGTAGTGAAAGCTCATATACAGGATCTCCCAGGCGGTTAGTGCTGCCCAAAACCACCCTGCCGCCTCGATGCCATATACAGGTAAACTCACCAGCAAGAAATACATTTTTAAAGGGAAACTATTGTGCCAGGGAAACAAGACCCCACCCGCAGAGTTGAAGGGATTAATAACCCCTTCAGTCACCTACCTGGGTCCAGCACCGATGTCCCTCTGCGCTGGCACAGTTCTTTCCTATGGGGATTCCGGAGACTCTGGAAGTCCTCATGTACAGCGTGAGCCTGTCCAGGGTTGTTTAGATGACCAAATGTCATCTAAGAAGCCGGAAGTCCCTCTAGTGGCTTTCTGGTAGACAGCTACTACCTGTGGAGTTAGCCCTAGCAGGTAACGATTGCAGTTTATAAAAAAACTACAATTATAACCACTCTAGGGTTAAAGGTGATGGGAGTTTGCAGTGTCCCTTGAGGAATAAAGAAGATTGAACAGAGAAAAGCAGCTTAAAGGAATTCTCAAGGCACCATAACAACTTTATAGCAATCAAGTTGTTATGTTGCCTGGAACTCTTGGCACCACACTTAAGATTTGTACCCATGTGCCAATGCTCTCAGATAATCACAGCACCACCACTCCCTCCCCCCATTATGTTTTACACATAAGCCTGGAGCAGAAGAAAAGAGAGAGAGACCAGCACCTAAGGATACCTCTTAAGTGTAACTCCTAATGGTAGTACACTATCAGGGGATTTCAAGCATGATAACAACTTCATTTAGATGAAGTTGTTATGGTGCCCAGAGTATCGCTTTAAGATGCAAAATTATGCAAAACATTTTTTAATTATTTAGACCAAAAGCCATACATTGCATACATGTTATATTAATGGCTTGCGTGAGTTTCTTTGACTATATCATAAGCCATTGAGATGACTAATTCTCATCTATTTAAGGATAATGCATTCCTATTAGAATCCTCTGTAGGTCACGACAGCTCTAGAAGGATCTTGAATGAAAATCACTTGAACTCCACTGTTTATAAATTGACACATTTAGGACTGCTGGAAGAAATAGTACACTTTATATTTACCTTATATTTTGGAAATAAAAAAATCTATTTTGCTGAGAGCCTGTAATGTATAAGTAGATTAGAGTTATTTTATATCTATGGTCCTGTTAATATTAAGCAAATTTCCTTGAATCATGTTGCATATTTAGTTTCAGGGTTAGTAGGATGATTTCTTTAAGGTTTCATATTCTGCAATACATGTGGCCATGTGTTTTTATTTATTTTTAAAATAATAATGTTCATGATTTTGTGCTTCATTTGTGCCTTTGCAGTGCTTATTTACTGACGCAGACTCAGGAGATGCACTAATTTTGTTTACTTGTCTAGCCTCCCTTGTGTTTGTCTTTCGGAGTGTAGAGCTACACTCAGTAATTAGATGGAAGTTATTTAAGTTCTTATTGTTTTTATCCTAAGAGCTAGATGACAGTTCTGCAGTATCGGCATTCTTGCAATGTTCTTTTTGTCATCAATAGGGTATTTGACAATGAACGTAACCGCCGAATTTGATCTCCATGATGATAATTACAGCTTATGTTACACAACAGCTTACACATGAACATTGTGTTACAATAGTATCCAATGTTTATTATTAACAAAGTGGCTAGCAAGGGTTAAATGGATTCATAATATGAGTCCAGTGATAGAGCAACCAATGTCATTGGATAGAGGATGTTTTAACATATGCCTGTGTTCAGGGCTCGATTAACATAGGGGCTGATGGAGCTGCAGCTCCAGGCCCATGCCCATGGAATAGGCCCATTGTTAAAAAAAATATATATTTTTTTAATTTATTTTTTTCTTAATTCTTTATTTTTGTTGTGGAGAATTTCCACTGTTTTTTTGCAATAGCATACATGCATCCAATGCAGAAGAATAAGAGTTAAACAGAACATTGATGTACAAGATGCATAAGTCATTCATGGACAGGCATCCTAGCGATTCAGGTATAGGTGTTAGACGGAAGAAGAGTGTACAAATAACTTTCTAAACTCTGTTTCATGCTAGCCGCTCTTGTGGACGTAAAATGTACATTATGGTGTGGCGTTCTAGCAGCCCATATGGGTTCACGCTGATGACAATGGTATAACGTGCTAGTCGCTCAAATGGGCATATAGTTTATAATATGTAGCAGCATGCTAACAACTCATGGGGGCTTAAGGTTTATAGATGGGTTTTTTTTTGTTTTTTTTTTACAACTCTTTACATGCTCTTGCTTCAGTATGGAAACTTAAGAGGGATGTAGGGGAATAAAATTCGAGATTCAATACAAATAAATGGAAAGTCAAGGAATTTGGACTGAGGAACCCACAAGCCACTTATACATTTAATTCAGTTCATTTAGGCATACCATTAAATAAAAAGGATTTGGGAATAAATTATAGATAACAAACTACGCAGCCGGATGCAGTGCAGGTCTGTCATTGCAAAGGCTAGTGATGTCATGTCTAGTATAAAGAGAGGAATTGGGGCTGTCATTTATAAAAAGAGGTTTTGATTCACATGATCAAAATATAACTTTGCCTCTTTATAAATCAATGGTAAGACCCCATCTTGAATATGCAATGCATATTTGGGCACCAGTTTTAAATAATCACAAAAACTAGAAAAAATGCATAGCTTAGCTACAAACTTTATAAGGGGGATGAAAACATTATATATTAGATATGCAATTGCTTTCTTTAGAAAAACAGCATTTCAGAGGGGATGGGATAACACTATGCAAATATATACAGGGTGAGTACAACTCACATGTACTAACCTGTTTATTAACAGCAATATACAACAGACAAGAAGTCACCAAATGAGACTGGAAGAAGGGCTTTTTTCCTTACAGCAGAGGAAAGGGTTATTTACAGTAAGAACGTGGAATTATCAATGCAAAGAGATTGTCTTATCAGATTCTGTAATAATTTTTTGAAAAAAGATCTGGATGATAGTATGAAAAAACTAAATATTCAAGGCTATAACTAGTGTGCATGCAAGGTTGTTAATCAAAGTAGAAATCTGATTACTATTATTGGAGTCAACATTTCCCTATTTGTGGCAAAATAGGCCATGGTTTCAAATATTTTTTTTTTCAATTTCTTCAAAAACATGAAAAGATGTATTTAAAAGGTTAGATTATTTTCTGTATAGCTTATTACTTTATAAAAATGGCAGAGAAGTAAGAGTGATTTTGTCTTAAATGTATTTTTTGATAGCACAATATTTTTAGGATAATTTTAGGACAAATCCATAAGACTGCATCAGATATATTATCCACTAGCTTGTGCACAAAACACTAGTTAATTTACTAAATGATAGCTTTATAATAAATTAATATGGACACTCCAAATTTTAGGCTTTTAGAGTTTCTCATTTCAAATATTTTGGTAAACAATTATGAATTCCTCTTTCAGTACTCCACAATTCCCATCTTGAAGGAAAACCATACACTTTCTGAGGCTTTAACGTTCAGGTATAGAAATATCTCTGCTTGTACATACAACGTAAATGTATACAGCAGATATCTGTAATCAAGCTTGTCTTTTTAGTCAGCATGAGATTGACATTTTTAAAATGAATTGAAATTGTCCTCCTTAAAAGAAAACAGTGTTTTGTTTAAAGGGATCACCTTACTAGTAGTTAATCTATGATAATATATTATTTCTTTCTTTCTATTGTAGCTACTCACTAAAGACTTATGTTTCAAAAGAGGGTGGGTACATAGTTCAACGTATGCACCGTCAAACATTACTCTCCCAATCTGATCAGCCGCCTGTCAGCTCATTCCACAATCAGACCATTTCTCGGAGGCTAGCCCTATCTTCCCAGCCTCAATGTGTACATTGTGTATTATTTAACCCCTGCTTCTACTACACAAGCTGTTCAAAGTACTCTAGCATAGGGGCATTGAATGTGTTGCTGTAAATACAATTGCCTGGATTCCGTTAGTTGAACAGCAATTTTAAATAGACATTAATGCAGGATTTGCTATTCAGTTAGCAAAGTAAATCCTCGGAAAAATCGTTCAGCACAAGTCAACAATGAAGGCTGAAAAATGCCCAATACATTTTACATTAAAGGAGCCCTACGGTGTCAGGAATAAAGACATGTATTCCAGACACTATAGTGCTGCTATGGGCTGGTGCAGCTGTTTAAGTGACCGGCGCTGCTCTGATTGCCCTAAAAAAGTAAATTTAATCACCTTACTCCCAAGCTTTGCCGGTCTTGCTGTGGCAGGCCTTTGCCTCCATGACTAAGAGTATCAGTCATGATGATCTTAGCCAATCCAATGCTTTCCCTTAGGATTGAGAGGCTATTGTGCAAGCACTGCAAAATGCCGCTCTGCCCCAATCAGTATCTCTGCATAGAGCTGCATTGAATCAATGAATCTCAATGGGGACATTCAGCACCTCCATGCAGGGCGTGGAGTCTCTGAACACCAGTGCTGCATACTGTACTGCATTGAACTAGGAAGCATTTCTAGTGACCATCTGAGTGACTGCCACAAGAGGTGCTACTAGAAAAAAGACATTGTTTACACTGAACAGCCTGCAGGGACAAGCTATAGACACCAGAACTACTACATTAAGCTGTAGTTGTTCTGGTAACTATAGTGTTCCTTTAAGTTTACTCTTTAAAAAGGAATAACAGGCAATTCCAATGTACAGCTATTTGGACTGCAAGATATTGTTCACACTATTTAACAATGACTGGATTTTGCAATTCGGTCCTCAAACAGGCCTGAATTTTGTCTGGGTTTTAACTGGCTGAATGCCACTGAATGGCTGAAAATAATCCAAACTATTTGCCCGGGCAGGGCCTAATGCCCACACACTGGACACCACGTATCATGAAGCTTTAGTGTCAAAGTGCTCTGATTGGTTGGCTTACAAGCCAGCTAATTAGAGTACTCATTGATAATACATAGTGTGGGAAAGTTCCCTACGCAATGTGATAGCTGACATAGCATGGAGCAACTTAATCAGGGCTTTCTTTGCTATGCGAGTTCAGTCTGTGGGATGGCATAGGGAGTTTTAAAAGGCTTTTAGGACTCCCATATTATAGTACAGTATAGTCGTCATTGTAGTATGGAGTTTTCACATGATATAGGCACTATAAAAATAACTACACGTTTTCATTTGTTGTCCCTGCCACAATTAAATGGTCACTCCATACTGGATTTATCCTATTTTATTTGTATCACATATTGGATTATTTTCTATAGAAAGAATTGTTGGGTATTCTTAGTGAATTCAAAGTGAATTACACATGTAAGTCAAAATTAGCTGAACTGGAAGCTTAGTTGGCTTGGATATATATTTCCAGTTTAACCTTAAATGTGAAATTAACTTTGAATTTAATAAAAAAAATAATTATCTTTGAACGATGAAAGAGAGGGTCAGAAAGGATAGGATAATTGAGCAAACTTAATTATTATTGAGAAGAATTAAAAAAAAATACCTGGCACAACAAAATAACATAACATATGCATTGCACCTAACTTGCATGGGTTGCCTGGAATGTGCCTTTATTTAACTTCTTAATAACTGGGTTATATAAATACTTCACTATCATTACAGCCCTGAGAAGCGTTCATCTCTCTCACACAGCACCGGAATGCTACTCACTGTAGGGAGTTTATCATACAGGCTCAAAACAAGAAGTATTTAAAGATGTTAAACAAAAATTTAAAAACTAAAAACTGTCATAAAGCAGAATGTTTAAGGCAAAATATGACCAAGTTAGGCTGCTATGGAAAATAAAATGAGAGTACACTCGATTGTATATCAAACAAAGCAATCGATCCACAAAGCATCACGTTGCCTTGGTTAGTTACGATTATTCATGCTGTTTATGCAGATTAACTAGAGAGATAGTGACAGTGGAATTTTCATTGGAGTTTGTTTAGGGTAGTTCCACCAAATTGACGTTCTTATATGTCGTTTTTTTTTCTAGAACTTTTTAGGAGATTACATTTTAGTAAATTTGTTTCTTATGTTGAATTGTTAAACATTCCTTTTTGGCATCTGTACTCTATACAAATAATAAATAAAAAAACTTTAGCATCCACCCAAAATACGTGTTTAACCCCTTAAGGACCAAACTTCTGGAATAAAAGGGAATCATGACATGTCACACATCATGTGTCCTTAAGGGGTTAAAGTGACACCGCAGACAGTATAACCACTACAACTTACTGTAGTGACTAGGATGCAAGTCTATGCAGACAGTCAGGGCTGATTCAATGATCCTTGGTTACACAGGTAAAAATGCATTTTGTCCATCTCCTACTCTTCACACCCCTCCGCTCTCCACAGTTGCAAAAAATATTGAGAATAATGAGAGATGCTAGCCACTACTTAGCCAGTGGCTTTCAGTAGAAGTGACAGGCATTTTAGAGAGTAGTGGCTGGCAAAAAAATAGCAACAAGATTGTAAATGAGACATCTGGGGATTTTATACCCCCAGCTGGGGTGTCCTAAGGCAGCCACCTACGCTGCCTTATGGTAATGCCAAATTTGGATACAGTCTGTTTGTTTTGTTTGTCAAACTATTTTTAAGTAGTTTGGCAAAAAACAGGCGTCTCCTTGGAAAAAGAAACCAGGTCTAGAAAGGACCATTCATTCTGCCTTTGCTTTCTCAATCTGAAAGTTTAACTTTCTTATCTATATGAAATATTTAAAAGGGTTAGCTGCACCACATCACTATTAACACCTTAACTGCAGTCAAATTAAGACAGGCTCTTTAGTCAAATATGTCAAAATCAAGAATTCATAATAGATAATTTAGTCACTTGGGCTGATGCAAATATTTATCCATTCAAAATGACCAACTTCTATTTCTGTAAAGAAACTCTAAATAGCTTTGAAAACAACCCTGGTGAATCTAACTAACATTCTATTGTTGTATATGACCATAAAATAACCAACATTATTAAAAAAAATATTTCTGCTTCATTTCAGAAAGATTTCTCAGAATAGAATTTTAAACATAACCTCTACTGAACCATTAACTCGTATAGCTGGTCTGGTCTCTTTGCACTTATAAAACTGAACTCATCTTTGCATGCCTTTCAATAATTTTTCTGAATGGCAGATGTGCTAAAAATATATCTCAACGTTTTATAAGTATATGAAACAAAAACTAATGTCTATGCCACGCGGTAATATATCGTCCACTTTTTATAAGTCTGTAAGTACAATACTAGTGATGTTTTTATGTTGACTACCCAAGCACACTAAAGCAGCATTTTATCACAAAAAAATATTAATTGTGTAAATATATATATTGTATATTATGTCAGCAGATATTTTTAAATAAAAATCCATAGGAACTGTTGATTTGATAAAGCAGCATTTTATCATAAAAAAATATTAATTGTGTAAATATATATATATCGTATATTATTTCAGATATTGTTAAATAAAAATCCATAGGGATTGTTGATTTGGAACACTAAGTAAATAATAAAAAGCAAACAGCAGTGACATAAATATTCACTTTCCTCCATTAGATATGAAATCATTTATTCTAACTATTAAATAATTCTAAATTAAAACCTAACACTATGAGCAACGCTATAGTAGATAGAAATATAGACCCGGGTAATAAACAAATTCATTGCTACAAATGATTCATCACAGCTCGTACTATAAAGAGAAACCCATACAACACCTGTTAATGCTGAAAAAAGCTGTTTCAAAAAGGTAGCTTTTCCTGAAACTTTGATTGCTGGGCTCTTTTACTTGTTCTGGCTGCAATGTAATGAAAAGTTCTTAACACTTTAGCAGTGGAATGCCTTTGTTGCTGATTGGCTCACAGTCAGCCATACCCCCTTCATTGTTTTCTAAAAATATTATTCTCTATTATAACAAGACACAGTTCTCATTTGAAGGGCTACTGCGTTTATCTATTTATTCTTCTACAAAGATGGCTAACAAGTTAATAAAATTGAGCTGTTTTATCTATAGAAATGATTACATAGCTAAGCTATTTGGCACAGGAGAAAGAAAAATCTCAAAAGTCAGCTGCTAGGATTTATTGTATGTATAGGTACTTTAATGTACACGTCTGTCTCTCTGACTTTTTTTTTTTTTTTCATTTTTATAACTATTTTGCTTGATGTAGTTTTATTATTAAGTTAAAGCAAATTTTGTAAGTACTATAGCTACCAGAAAGCAAAAAAAAAAAACAAAAAGACTCAGATTCCCAGGGTTGGTTTTGCTGATATAAACCAAAAGGTGCAAATTGTATCTTTTTCTTGTGCATCCTTGACTCCTTTCCTTTTATTTAGAGATGTTTTATTCTGTTTGCAAACCTCTGTGGCACAACATTCATTCATAAAAGAAACACTGATTTTATGTGTTTTAACCCCTTCACTACCAAACGATTTGAAAAACTACCACCGGTATCCAAGTATTTTCGGTGCCCTGGAAAGTCCTAGAAATGTCTTTTTCATTTCAGTATGCACAGAGGGGATGTTATTTTATGTTATAATAATAAAAAAAAAAATAACAACTCCTGGTTGGACAGGAAACAATTTAAAAAAAAAAAACATTTACCAAATAATGAAGTTACAGATAAGAAAACAGTGTTGTAAATAAAATAAATTTCTAAATATGTAATACTAATAATTGTCCATACATATGCCCTCACATGTAAATCATTTTATATGTGCTCATATTGTAGATAGACAGACAGACAGACAGACAGATAGATAGATAGATAGATAGATAGATAGAATGACAGATAGACCGATAGACAGACAGACAGATAGATAGATAGAACAATAGATAGAACGACAGACAGATAGAAAGATAGATAGACTGATAGATAGATAGAACGATAGATAGAACGATAGACAGACAGAAAGATAGATAGACAGACAGACAGACAGAATGGTAGATAGAACGATAGACAGACAGACAGACAGATAGATAGATAGACAGACAGACATATAGATAGACATACAGACAGACAGATAGATAGATAGATAGATAGATAGATAGAACGATAGATAGATAGATAGACCAAACTTCTGGAATAAAAGGGAATCATGACATGCCACACGTCATGTGTCCTTAAGGGGTTAAAAATGACCATTTACAAGTACTAAACACAGGTACTAAAATGCTAGTATCTGTCGAGGTATCTCATATTGGCAAAGAGAAAAACATTTTCTCTCTTCATCAAAATGGAGATGCAGAAATAGAATTCAATTCAGATATGATTTCTGAAGTCAGTGAAAAGCATCCTCACTTTGATTACAATTCGAAAAAAATATGCATCTAAAAGTATTAGATTTGTTTATTGCATGATAATTTGAATTACAGACACAATGCAAAAATATCTAATTTATTGATGACTGTATTTCAATGAGAGTGTTATAACGAATGTATTAGCCTCCCTTAATAATTGAGCTCACATAACTTTTTCCTGTTTTATCTGTGTAATTGTTTTAGACAAAACTGGATTAGAGACTACTTATATTAGAACCTCGGTGTTATTTGAGGCAAAATGTGCATACCTATATAAATCCCTTCCTCTCATTGGTCTTTCCAAGACTACTTGAACCAATCATATTTGATGTAAGTGAATATATGTATGCCTTTGTATGTCGTGTTAGGATATGAGGATTCAGAGTATCTATGAAGGGACACTATAGGCACCCAGACCACTTCCGCTCATTGAAGTGGTCTAGGTACAGTGTCCCAGGTCCCTTAACCCTGTAAAGGAGGGGGGCACTTTAGGAAGCTATAGTGCTAGGAAAAAAACAACTTTTTTTCCTGGCACTATAGTTTCCCTTTAAGTAGATAAAAACTGTGGGGTGGGGGTGCTGTAGTGGGTGCAGTGGACATGGGGCTGCCGTGGGGGCAGGGGAATAAATGCTGAAGTGGGTGCTGGGGCATAGAAGCTGTAGTGGGGGCAGAGGCTGTATTGGGTATAGAGGCTATAGTGGGGGCAGCGAATAATAGGGCTATAGTGGGGGTAAGGGAAAATAGGGACTATAGGGGGGCAGGGGGTAATAGAAGCTACAGTGGGTGCAGGGGAGTGATAGGGACTGGTGGTTGCAGGGGAGGCATAGGGACTGTGGTTGTTTCAGGGGGATAGGGGCTGTAGTAAGTGCAGACAGCAATAGAGTCAGTAGTGGGTGCAGGGAAAAAGGGCAGTAGTGGGCATAGGAGCTTTCATGGATATAGGGTTGTAGTGGATGCAGGTGTTTAGGGGCTGTAGGAGGCTGTTGTGGTTGCAGCGGGTATAGGGCCTGTAGTTGGTATTTCAGCTGTAGTGGGTGTAGAGGCTGCAGGGGTTCTAGTGCTTTTATGGGGTATATGGGCTGTAGTGGGTGCATGGTATATAGAGACTGTAGTGGGTATAGGGACTATAGGAGGTGTAGTGGGGTATAAGGGCTGTGAGGAATATATGGGCATGCGGTTTGTTCATGCGGTAAAGGGGCTGTAGTGGGTATAGGGTCTGCATAGGCTGTAGAGTTTGCAGGGGTAATAAAAACTGTAGTGTTTATAGCGGCTGCTGGGGTTGTAGGGACTGTAGTGGGTTTAGGGGCTGGATAGGGTATTTATGCTGAGGTGGGTATAGGGGCTGTAGGGGTTAGAGGGGCTGTAGTGGATACAGGGACTGTGGTGGGTGTAGGGGCTGTAGTGGGTAGAAGTCAAAGGGGCTGCTGGGGGTAAAGGAGAAGCAGGGGGTAGAGGGGCAGAAGGGAGTAGGGGGGCAGAAGGGAAGCAGGGCACTAGAGGGGCAGCATGGTGTAGGGGGGCAGCAGGGGGTTTGCTGGGGCTAGAGGGGCAGAAGGGGGTAGGGGGGCAGCAGGGGGTCTGCTGGGGCAAGAGGGTCTGCAGGGGGTCTTCTGGGGCAGCAGAGGGTAGAGGGGCTGTGGTGGGTATAGGGGTTGTAGTAGGTAGAAGGGCTGATGGGGTAGAGGAGTAGCAGGTGGTTGAGGGGCAGCTGGGGGTTGAGGAGCAGCAGGGGGCAGCAAGAGGTAGAGGTGCAGCAGGGAGTAAGTGGGTAGAGGGGCAGCAGTGGGTAGGGAGGCCAGCAGGAGGTAGGGGGCTCCAGCAGGGAGTAGGGGGCAAAGGGGCAAGCAGGAGGTAGTTGGGCCAGCAGTGAGTAGGGGGCAAAGGGGCAGCCGGCAGTATGGGGCAAAGGGACAGCAGGGGTTAGAGGGGTAGCAGGGAGTAGGGGTTTGCTGGGGCTAGAGGGGCAGCAGGGGTAGGGGGCAGCAGGGGTCTGCTGGGGCAGCAGAGGGTAGAGGGGCTGTAAGAGGTAGGGGCTGTGGTTGGTATAGGGGTTGTAGTAGGTAGAGGGACATCAGGGAGTAGAGGGGCATCAGGGAGTAGAGGGGCATCAGGGAGTAGAGGGGTAGCAGGGAGTAAGTGGGTAGAGGTGCAGCAGGGGATAGGGGGGACAGCAGGGTAGTAGGGGGCACCTGCAGGGTGTAGGGGGGAAAAGGGGCAGAGGTGGGGGCAAGGGCAGAGGTAGGGGGCACCAGCAGGGTGTAGGGGGCAAAGGGGCAGAGGGGCCAGCAGGGAGTAGGGGCAAAGGGGCAGCAAGGGGTAAAGGGGTAGCAGGGAGTAGGGTTTTTGCTGGGGCTGGAGGGGCAGCAGGGGGTAGGGGGACAGCGGGGGTCTGCTGGGGCTAGTGTGACAGCAGGGGGTCTGCTGGGGCAGCAGAGGGTAGAGAGGCTGTAAGGGGTAGGGGCTATGGTGGGTATAAGGGTTGTAGTAGGTAGAAGGGCTGCAGGGGTAAGGGCTGCTGGGGTAGAGGAGTAGCAGGGGGTTGAGTGGCAGCAGGGAGTAGGGGGGTAGAGGGGCAGCAGGGGGTAGGTGGGCCAGCAGGAGCTAGAGGGGCAGCAGGGAGTAGGAGGCATATGAGCAGTAGAGGGTATAGAGGCTGTAGGGGTAGGGGCTGTGGTGGGTATAGGGGTTGTAGTGGGTAGATGGTAGAGGGGCTGTAGAGGTAAGGGCTGTAGTGGGTAGAAGGTAGAGGGGTTGCAGGGGGTAGAGGGGCAGCAGGGAGTAGAGGGAAAAGGGGCAGCAGAGGGTAGAGGGGCTGCTGGGGGTATATGAGTAGCAGGGGGAAGAGGGGCAGCAGGGGGTAGAGGGACAGCAGGGAGTAGGGGGCAAATGGGCAGTAGAGGATATAGGGGCTGTAGGAGTAGGGGCTGTGGTGGGTATAGGGGTTGGAGTGGGTAGAAGGTAGAGGGGCTGTAGTGGTAAGGGCTGTAGTGGGTAGAAGGTAGAGGGGCTGCAAAGGGTAGGGGGCAGCAGGAGGTAGAGGGGAAGCATGGAGTGGGGGGCAGCAGGGAGTAGAAGGACAGCAGAGGGTCTACTGGGGGTAGAGGGGCAGCAGGGAGTAGGGAGCAAAGGGGCAGCAGAGGGTAGAGGGGCTGTAGGGGTAGGGGCTGTGGTGGCTGTAGGGGCAGTAGGGGGTAGAAGGAAGAGGAGCTGCTGGGGGAAGAGGAGCCTTACCTTTGGCCAGAGGGGGAAATCCTTCTCCCAGCAGCAGTGGAGCATGCTCTCTCTCACTGAAGTGCTGCCTCTAACACAGATCAGGCAGCTCCGCATGCCTTTTGACACATGATGTCATTTTCTCTATCAGGAGCCGCACAGAGCTGCCTGATCAGCACTACAGACAGCTCTCCTGCTCTGCTCACCAGTCAGCCACAGTGAGAGACAGCCTAGTGGGTCTCTGGGAGGGCCCTTTAGCTGTCTCTGACTGTGCCTGCCCGAACAAGGGGGAAATGTATTTGGTAACTAGGGCCCGCGGAGTGCCGTGCGGGGCCCCTGACTGACTGACTGCAGGCTGGCTGGGGAGATTGTTAAACTCCCCAGCCCAGCTATTACTTTACTGCATGGCAGGCAGACGGCCAGAACCCCCCAGAGCCTCGGGCCCTCGGTCCATGACCGATTTGCCCGAGTGCTCAGTCCGCCCCTGGAAACACCTATACTACTTGTCACGGAATTCGTATGACTACTGATAACACAACAAGTTAAATATGCCTAGAATATCTCATTAGATTGTGTAAGATTATATTGAAATACACCAGCACTTTGGTTTCCACTTGCATTTTCCATTAGAGGTTGTAGAATTGGCGCATTGGTGCTTAGTCACTAAACAAAAAAAATTATAGTAAATTGTAAACAGAATTTAGGCTATACTAGCAACGCTGTGACTATAACTGGGGTGAATTTTGACAGTGTAGCACTTTTATTTTGCCCAAACAAAGTATATAGTTCAGTTTTTTAATTCACTCCAATTCCAATTGAATAAACCATATCACTGGAAATTGGTTATAGGGAGAAAATAATGTAAAGTTGTCACGGGAGCAAACTTAATTTAAAATGAGAAATGCATGACTTCTCACAAAAAAATATTTGTAGGCTTTAGGAAGTACAGAGAAACCATGCTGCAAGCAAATCACAACACTGAGAAATTAATTTGTGGTGGAATTCATATGTTCTGATTGGAATGCGCACAATTTATTAACCCTTCATGTAACCATAATTACCTAAACAAAACCTACATACCTAGCAATAACTGAAATTTGTATTTGTAGAGCTTTAAAGAATTACTTTAACCTTTTTAAAACACATTTGTTTACCTTATAGTCCCCTATTACTATATAGGGAATAGATCATTACATCTATTTCCAGCGCTCTGTGTGTGCCAATGACAGACGTAAATTTTGCACAGAATTGATAATAGGCAGCCTCGAGCATAGTTCCGTCCTTCCTAAGTCATGTGATTTGAGTGACTCTAGCACCCAGCAGGAGTAGATTAAGAGCCCACTGGGCCTGGTTCTGACAATTACAATGGGCCTAATTACAGAATCTTATCGTTAGAAAACACTAAAACAGTCATACCTCCCAAGCGTCATGTATCTGGATGGAGGTGGTGCTGGAGAGAAACTCATATGATGCATTGACAGGAGAACTCATACCCTATGCTAATTTCATTTCATTTCTCAAGGAAATTCATACCCCTAACAGCAGTGTCCAGTGAAGCAGAGCATCTGTGGGTGGGTTAAATGGATGAGCCAATGACGCAAATCACATAAGCTGAACCGCCCAAAGGGGCAGACATGCCAAGAAATGGGGCAGGTCTGCCTGAAGAATTGAAGATCAGCCTGGCGTGAATGCCTGTCAGTCTGCCTGCTAATCATGCAGGATGGCTAACAAAGGGCGCACGGACAGTTGACTGGTAAATTTGACATTTTCTTACAAGCTTTTTATTTTTCATATGTGGTATCAGCCCTTTCCATAAAACTTAAAAGTAGGATGCTTTATATTGAAGTCAATGGCAATCAGGGTGGAGTGATGGTTGCAGGTTTTGGGGGACCCTAGCCATTGACATGGGGGTGGTCCCCCAAGCCTGCAGATGTTAAACTATTTACAATGTAGGCTATAGTATTACCTAGCTCTATTTGTGGAAGGAGTTGGAATATATTATTAGGACCAATTAAATAGCCCTTACCTCGTCCACATATTACAGGACTAGGTGTTTACATCAGGGTGATGGGTAAGAGCACGGGTCAGTGCCCCTCTGGTTAATAGTTGCATGTAGGAGACCCAATTCACTTTTCTAACCTTACAAAAAATAGCTGGAAATAGAGATAATTGTTGTCTGCAATCTTAAATTACGCTTTTGCCATATACTCTCCCAAAACCATGTACATTTTGCAGTTTAGTTGGAAAAGATTCCTAACTTTTCATTTAATCTTTCTATATTTTTTTATTTACCAGAATGTATATTTTAATGAAACACTTGTAGACTAAACTGTTAACTGTAACCAAAGCTAGCAAATAGCCTGGCATTTAATTCCTTTTTTTTAGTTTTTTTTTTTTTGTTTGTCTAGTATCTGATAGCTGCATCATATTTTCCTACCAAGTCAAAAGAACCTTTCAAGCCACTTGTGATCTGTAAGCCTGCAAAACGAACAAGGGGACTGATTGTAGGACCTAATTATCATCTATTACTTGCTTGTTCTTGCGTGCTTAGTACACTTCCCTCCTACTAAAAATAAATCCTTATGATGCAGGCCTAACAAAATAAAAAAATAAAATTTGCATTTGACAAATATTTCTTGATTAGAAAACAAGTCACCAATATAAATATTATAAATGTAATTATTGATGTAATCAACATGAAATTCAAAATCAGCTTTAATTTAGAGTAGCCTGCAGAATAAATGCACCACAAGTATCGCCATAGCATGTTGATTATATCAATTATAGTTGACATTTAATACAGGAAAAATAAAGCTTCTCACAGCATGTATGTCCTATAAAAATGTACTCTTTTGAAATGTATTTGTGTTTTAAAATACATTTTATTAAAGGTCATGTAAAACTTTGTCACTTCAGAATAATGTTCGGCATATGAAATGCATGATCACTTTTTAAATCCTAAATTGCACGGAACATCGCTCTATGCATTGTGGACTTAGCATATTGCGAAGTGTGACTTACCACTGTGAATTGGAGGACCTAAGTTGATGGGAGAAACTCTCATTAAAACTCTCATTAATGTTGCCCCTTTAGCTTTACATTCCAGAGAAGGGTAGAAGGAGATAGAAATAAGCGTGATATATAAAGGAATTTAAAGTGAATAAAAAGATTAGAAAAACTACTTTCTAATTTTTGTTGCAAACTGTAGTTAGATGTAGTCATATAGTGAAAAGCACAAATCAAAGATGTTAGGCAACATATCATGCCAGCCAAAATGAAATTAGGAGAAAGGATTGTCTGTCAAATACCACCTATGAGTGCTAAAGGGATATACTCTCTTATACACAGTGTACATATGTGGTGGGCAAGGGTCCAGTTTGCAAGATGTTTGCTTGATTTCTTGCTGAATATTAACCATTTTTCTATAAAATTATATTTTGAAGGATCCTATTTGTAGATAGTAGACTTGTGCATTCAGTTTCAAACATATCCAGATTTTGTCTGGAATTTTGGGCAGCCTGCAATGCATCTGAATTTGGGACATTTGGAGGGGCTAGGGGTAGAAGGAATGGGACATGTGGAGGGGCTGGGGAGGAGAGTATGGTACACATGGAGGGGCTGAGGGGATGAGGTATGAGACACATGGAGGGGCTGAGAGGGGAGAGGGAATGGGACACATGCAGCGGCTGTGAGGCAGAGGGAATGAGACACATGGAGGGCCTTTGGGGTCGAGGGAATGAGACAAGGATGGGGAATGAAACACATGGGAGGAGAGCCCCAGGGCAATTTTTGCACCGGGGACCGGTGGTTTCTAGTTATTTCTAGGCTTATGCTATGTAAATGAGTGCATTTTGATCATGTCGATGTTTTTATGAATGGTTACTTTGCATTCATATTTCAAAGAATTTAATTTCTTTTCTAGTGTTGCTCTGTTCTTCCAATTCATCCTGTGTGTTCCCTTTATTCACTTATTCACTGGGATCCTGTTTTTATATGTTGATGTCCTGTTGTTGAGTGAACCTTGTCAAGGGCATCACATACAGCACAGCTGGCAGAGGATCATGTAGTTTGTGTTCTGGAATTTAAGCTCCCTCAACACGGTCTTGTTTTTCTAGAGGTATCTACATTCCATGTTGTGAGTATTCATCTAAATAACAACTGCAATAATAACAGAGTTATTTACTAAAGAGAGAATTAAAGGTGAATTCAAAGAGAATTTCAATTTTAATGCCAAAGTACTTGAACTGAAAGTCTCTAAATAATGTATCTAGTTTGGCTATTTTGACCATAAATTTGAAATACACTTGGAATTCTTACCCAACCCCATACAAACCATTTTAGAACTATTTGATTCTTACCTGGGTGCTGCTTTCTTTACCTGAGTGCTGCTCTCAGCCGCCATTACCATCTACAGGAGAGTTGGAAGCTTTCTCTGGGATAACGGCGCTACCATCACCTCCACCTCCCAGGCTTGCTGCCATAGTGTTGTCTTTAACTCCGTCCTCTCCTTTACCCCTCATATCCAGCCGATCACCAAATCCTGATGTTTTCATCTCAAAAATATAGTGCGCACATGACCCTATTTAACCACGGACGCAGCTAAGGTGCTGGTCCATGCCATTGTACTCTCTCGCATTGACTGCTGCAATCCGCTTCTCACAGGTCTTGCATGTTCCAAACTTGCCCCATTATAGTCTATAATGAATGTGGCAGTGAGGCTCATTTTCCTGTCTGCCTGTACCTCCAAAATTAGTTGGCATTATATAAATAATAATAATAATAATAAGCCTGGCGGTGCAGGAGTTAGCTTATCAGCTTATCACATTTAGCCAATCAGCTAGCATTGCATTTGAGAGGCAGTTAGCAGTGCCTGGCGAACCCCAGGTAAGGAGTCCCACCATTAGACTTCTTACATGGGGACATCAGGGCACTCCTGACACCACAGCCACTTTAGTACTCAGTAAGGGTTATGGTATGTGGAGTGTTCCTTTAGATTCTTAAATGAACTTTTTATTGAATTGCATTAAGGACCTCTTAAATGCTTCTTTTCTTTTCGTTTTGTTTTTTTGTATTTAGATAATATTCTGTTTTTCGTTTGCAATTTACAAGTAGCTAAAGATGTTACTGATTTATTCTTCAACATGCAGTTATTTTATACATTCATTTGTTTGTGCTTATTCACTGATTCTGTTGCCAGTCGAACAACTGTTACCATATACGGAAATGCTGCACTTGATCTATTTAACTTGTAGATATATGATTAGTGTTATGGAAACTATTTGAATGTGAATGTTGGAGGTTTTAGCCAGATGCCTTATGAACTATAGTAATATATTACTGACAACATGATGTTTAATGCAGTAAGAATATGATAGGTTAAAAAAAAAAAAAAAAAGCAACATAGTAGTTTAAAATAATAACAGGTTTATGGACATGCCAAGATAATTGTATTTATAAATTATGTAAATTATTTTAAAGTGGCTGAATTAAAGGGGGTCACGTGTATTTAACATGTCTTGTCTGCAGGCAAATGTTGAGAAGGAGAAAATAAAGAAGAGAATGGTAGGACAGTGGGCCCAGAAACATGAACCACTCCAGCCCTCCCAAACGTAGGGAGGTTGTGTGGACTTAAATATCATTTTTTTTTTATAATAAAAATTAGTGAGTTTATGAGAAAGTGTGTGTGTGTGTGTGTATCTGTCAGTGAATGTGTGTGTGTCTGTCAGTCAATGCATGCATCAGTGAAGTCATGTGTCTGTCAGTCAAAAAAATGTGCGTTGGTCTTAATCAGGAAGAGATGCAGCCTTGGCAGTAAGGGCTGCTGCTAATGTTTTTGTGCCAGATACCACAGGACATGTTCAGAGGGCTTGAAGAGTTCATGCCTTGATGCATCAGAGCTGTTTTGGCAGCATAAGGGGGAACCTACACAATATTAGGCAGGTGGTTTTATTATTGTGGCTGATTAGTGTATAGTGTGAATGAGAGTGCATGTGTCAGTGAGAGTGTGTATGTGTCAGTAAGAGAGTGAGTGTGTGTCAGTGAGAGTGAGTGTGTCAGTAAGAGAGTGAGTGTCAGTGAGAGTGTGTCAGTATATCAATGAGTATCTGTCTGTAAAAGAATGTTTATTTGTGTCAGTGAGAATATTTGTGTGTCAATGAGAATGTGTGTGTTAGTGAGAGTGTGTCAGTATATCAGTGCATGTCTGTCTGTGAGAGAATATGTGTGTGCTATTTTGCAAGTGAATAATCATTTTTAAGTAATGTTTTAAGTAATTAATCTAAAAATGCTCAACCACATAAGGATTAATTATATGGTGGTTGGCACTCGCTTGCTAGCCAGCCACCACATGAAAAAATTATAATAAATAAATAAATATAATAATAAATCAAAACCCTATGGGTGTCTTATTTTTTTTTTTCTATAATGTAGGTTAAAAATCTCCTTATGAACCCACCTGCCATGCTGCAGCTAGAGGCATGTCTACTAAATGTTTGAAACTGGTAACTAGGCAGTCTTTGGGTGTGGGCTGGGGAGGAAACTAGGTTCTTACCATGAATATTATAATTAGAGCCCCACCCACTGCCAATGTTCTGAGGCCCAGTGGAGACAATAGGCTCTCCCCAATGAATATAACAATTAGTCCCATACGTGATGTCCACAGGTATGGGACTATGTCCCCCCAACAGGTCCCATGTGATGGGTCTTTCTAACAACTAGTCAGTGCCTACCCAGTCACTAATTTTAGCCAGTTATCAGAAATGCTGCTCACCCGCTACATGGTGGGGGCATAGGGTGGTTTTAAACCTTCATTATAGTACATGGCTGTTTTATAGGCCCCAATAGGCTTTTTTGTTGATTTATTTTTAGCTATTTAATATAAAAAGCGCTAGTCAACTGTCACATATTTAACCTTCACGCTGCCAAGTGCCTTTTGACTGACATTTGATCAAGCTGAAATCCAGACATTGTTGAATAGCATAAATAATGTCTGGAATGTGCAGTCCGAATAACTCTGTGTTATGGTTTTGACCTATTCTGTATAGGACCATAAGCACTTTTGTGAATAACCCTAATAATCTTTATGAAATACTAATGCTTACTGTGTAAGAATGTTATTGAAATTCTGATGCAATTCAAAATATCACAAGACAAAATGGGGACTAATTTGTCTTATGGCTCTTCCATGAGCTTTTTTACAATCCCAGCGGTGCTATGGGATTCAAACATGGTCTTGCTCATCATGAAACCTCATCTAAAGAGGTTTCCGCTGTCTCACAGGATGCTGCACAGACTTTAGTCTAATGCCATGGATTTATTGACAGGTGGTTCTCCTGCTCCTTGTCACAATGCTATCCCTCAGCAGGCAGTTCTCATGCTTGCTGGGGGATTATGGGACGCACTGACGCAAAATTGCTGGTAGTGAAGATACCATGTCAGTGTCAGCACGGAGGATTGCCCTTCATTGGCAAGTGTCACAAGCAGGGCCAATCACAGCAAACAAGTGGCAGCAATGGTGGATGGATATGGCTGCACCATTACACCAACAGGTCAACCAGGATGGTGGCACTGGAGTTAGGTGCTGCTGGTAAGTAACCATATAACTGCTCCCAAAACACAAAAATATATGCTTATTTAGTGCCCTGAGAGCTGTTATCTGTTAAAAATAAAATGCCATGACAAGCTTACTTTAAAAAAATAATAATAAATAACTATATTTATTTTCTCTCTCTCACTCTGTGATCTTCACACAAGATATTTACGACCCTGTGCGAGAATGTTGTCTATTTTCTAGTAAACTTGTGTCTTTTCTGCACTCATGTCACTTTAACCCCTGTATTACAACTCAACTTTGAATTACATTTGTCATCTTGCTCAGAAATTCTTTAGACTTGAGAAAGGAAGGTTCTCCCTAAAGCTTGTCATTAAAAAATTATGTTAGTCCAATAAAAAAAGGTATTACAAGATATGAATTGTATCTGTTTTTTTTTTTACATATATATATATATACACACAAACACACACACTGGCACACACTATACAATGATGTAATGCATTACAGAGATGGCATACATTTTTTCCACGGCTGTTTTGTATTTCCAGTCTGACCCTGTTAAAAAGTATGAGCTGGAATTAAAAGCAGATCTTGCAATAGATTTTTCTTTATTGAATAGCCCACATATAATTATTTCACCTGATATTGTGCAACTCATAACATGTGCTACCCAGTTACAGTGTTCTTGTTACCAGTTAATCATTCACATTCATAAATTTCAGCTGTGCATTTTTGTAAAAAGAATTGTCGATGAGTAAGGATGCCTCTTTTCCTGCGTTTTACAATCACTATATGCTTTTTATCAAATAAAATATCAAAAGAAAAAAATATAGGACATTTAGATATATTTTGTGCAAAAAGTAACTTTTTCATTTGCAAATAAAATGAGAACCCACACATGGACAAATTAAGTGCAATCAGTATAGTTATTATTTGTAAAGTGCCAACATATTCTAATGTGTATATTCTGATTGGTATGAGCCTTTTTGAGTGTTTATCTATGCACTAGGCCACGTATACAAATGTTTGTTGAGCGAAATCAACAATATGTAATACTTTTCACAATTTGTCATGCTTTGCGTGTGTTTTTGCACAACTTTTTTCACTACTTCTCTACTAGAACCACATTAAAAGCAGTATAAAAAGCATGGTTATGCAACACACAGTTTTATCCTAGTACATCATGTACATGCCATATAAAATCTGTATCTAATTATTTTGCACAAGGATATGATTAATGAGGCCAAGCTGAAACAAACGTCCCACTAATGTTCTGCTTGCATTACAGCAACATTACCAGGGAGCACATGTGTTTTCGAACTGTACAGCCGTTCTGATGACACCATATGGTCACATTATTTTCATGAAGATTAGAAAAAGGAGGACACGGAGTGCTGCATGTTCTAAAATAAAACAGATTTATTGGGCCAGTACTTTCTCTCAAACAGTTGTGTTACAGAATCAGAAATTTTTGAATGTTTGCTTCTTACACCTTAAAATCATATAGATGTTTAACAGAGCATTCTATAAAATAACAAAATATTCTCTTATTCCATTCTTAAGTTAGCTTTTTTTTAACAGCTGAATATTTATACATATATTGACTGTTTGGAATTTCAAAGTAAATATACAGAAACCCCGACACGTCAGAGGCTGCCATATCACCAAAACAAACAGGAGTAAATTGTGTGAATCCGTACACGTCACAAAGCTAGAGTCATTTTTCTCCACTCACAGCAGAGGAAGAAAGGCACCGCCCCAGTGAAATCTAGGACAATCACAAAGAAATCACACACCGAATAGGGTCTGCACTCCTATTGAGCAAGCTGCATTTTCAGTTGCATGTAATCCTATGCTTTGTTACAAATCACTGATGAGATACACTAACAAGTCGTGTACAGGGTAATGCGAGGTGAACTGCAGAATGTTGCTGTGTGTATGTTTTTGTTTGCGTTGATAAGCATATCTGGCTTGATTGTGATCATCACAACTGAAGGTATATTAAATCATCCACCACAATGCATAAACAGAGAGCTGAATCAGTTTACCTTGTCACTGGAAGTGTAGATGTCTTACTGTCGTCCTGTGTTAATAATGGCTCTTTACAGTATGAATGGGAACATTTGATTTTTTTTTTCACTGACGTTTCAGATGCTTTAGTGAGACGAATGCACCAAGAATGGTCTTGCTGTGTCGGAAAGGAAAGGAAAAAGGGAGGGGTGAAGGGTTTCTGGGCGGTTTATGCTGGTCCTGCTGATGCTAGCTCTGTGAGTGTGATTCTCAGCCAGTTTCCACTTTGAGTAATTCTGCAATGCCTCGGGGCGACCCAACCCGAATATTTCCATAACTGGCAATTTGCTTTACGATAAATGTTACCTGTGTAAACAGAAGGTAATTGTGAGATGAGACTTCCTTAGAATTGATCAAATTACATGTCTGTTAGTCCAGTCCGAAAATATTCTATTTCTTTAGTTGTAAATGCCTTGGAGCAAGCTGGCATGATAGTAAATAGAATAGTCAAATTTTCAAGGATTATATCAGCTGAATTCAAAAGAGTTCAACTTTTTGAGGATTTGAGAAAAATCATGCAACAAATTGCAGCATAATCTGTTGTGTAAGGTTTGCACCTTTTAAGAGAGCATTCCAAGCACCATAATCACTACAGACCATGATAGGCTATGGGGCCTAGAGTACCCTGGCCATGGTGCTTCTCCTGTTAATTACTCCTAATTAAATAATGTTTGATTGTGCTTCACTCTTTCGATGTGATAGAGGATACAAAATTTCCACTACCAACAAGACTTGTGCACACTGGGATTCTTCGGTTAGGCAGAATAAATTTTCCAGAAATGTAAATTTTGTTCGGGATGTTTGATGCTCGTTTGCGTAACAGTTAGATTCATTTAAATGTTATTCGTGGAGAAGTATTCGGAAAAAGATTCAGACAAATCAAAAAGGGCATGAAAATGGGCCAATCAGTGTGCTGCAAAATATATACGTAATATAAACATTCTTAATATATTTTGCAGGACACTGATAGGCACATTTTCAAATCAGTTGCTTTGCAGATCAAGTAAGAAAAAGTGACCAGTAGAGGGAAAAATAGGAGAAGTAATAAATAAATCTATCTATCTATCTATCGACCAATGATCTATCCATCATAAATATATAATATATAAATATAATTTTTTTTTTTTTACTTCTATTTATTTTCTCCCTTTATTGGCTTTCCCCAGCGATCAATCATATTTTTTTACCATCGATCATCTTGTTTTTTGGTACCGCAAGCAAAACTCCAGATCCCGATGCAAATGAAATTGCATTTGGCTTCAATTGGACGGTTATTTAACCCCTTGACGACCGATGACGGTTCAGGACCGTCATCGGAAAAATCCCCTTGGGGACCGATGACGGTCCTGAACCGTCATAACGTTCTGGGGCTACTTACCTGATCGCCGTCGGTCCCCCGGCGGCGATCAGCGCTCCTCCCGGTCCAGGGGGACTGCCTGTCTGCCCGGGCAGTCTCCCTCGGCAGATCAGGACCCCGCGGCCACGTGATCATTCGATCACGTGGCTGCAATAGGTGCCTGTGTATCTGCCTGCAGGGGGACTGTCTGTGCTGATTATATATGATTATATATATATATATATATGTAATTTTATTCTAACAGTATTTTGATATTTATATATATATATATATATATATATATATCAAAATACACCTAGAATGTAATGATATATATATCTATGTATAAATAAATAAAAATAATACGAAATATACATATGTCCATATACATAATTACATAAATAATTTCATAAATATACACGTAGACGTCAAATATATAAATATGCATATATATTAAAATTTTACGTGTATTTATGTAATATTTTTACCTAATTAAGTAATTTTAATGATTGCAATTTGAGGGACCTGCCTGCCAACCCTGGCCGAAAGTCCAGAGAATTTAATTTGCTAGCTCTGTGTTTAACACTGTAACCTTCTATGACACCCTAAAACCTGTACATGGGGGGAACTGTTTTACTCGGGAGACTTCGATAAACACAAATATTAGTGTTTCAAAACAGTAAAACATATCACAGCGATTATATTGTCAGTGAAAGTGACGTTGTTTGCATTTTTCACAAACAAACAGCACTTTCACTGATGATATTATTGCTGTGATACTTTTTACTGTTTTGATACACTAATATTTGTGTCCAGCAAAGTCTCCTGAGTATAACAGTACCCCACATGTAGAGGTTTTATAGTGTTTGTGAAAGTTACAGGGTCAAATATAAGGCTTGATTTTACTTTTTTTTTTTTATTATTGAAATTTGTCAGATTGGTTAGATTGCCTTTGAGAGCATATGGTAGCCCAGGAATGAGAATTAGTCCCATGATGGCATACCATTTGCAAAAGAAGACAACCCAAGATATTACAAATGAGGTATGTTCAGCCTTTTTTAGTAGCCACTTAGTCACAAACACTGGCCAAAGTTAGAGTTTTTTGCATTTTTAACACACAAACAAATATAAATGCTAAATTTGTCCAGTGTTTGTGACTAGGTGGCTACTAAAAAAGACTGGACATACCCCATTTTGAATACCCTGCGTTGTCTACTTTAAAAAAATATGTACATGTGAGGTGTGATTCGGGGATTTATGACAGATAACGGTGTTACAATGTCACTATTGATAAATTTTAAATATATATATATTGAAACAGCAATTTCCTACTTGTATTTATAGGCCTATAACTTGCAAAAAAAGCAATAAAGCATGTAAACACCGGTGTTTTTGAACTAGGGACAAAATTTTTAATCTATTTAGCAGTTTTTTTCATTAGCTTTTTTAGATAAGTAAAAGATTTTTCAAGTAAAAGTCCAAAAACATGTTTTTTTTCAATTTTTCACCATATATTTTTTTTTTTTTAATAAAATATATGACATGATACAAATAATGGTATGTAAAGAAAGCCCTTCTTGTCCTGAAAAAAAACAATATATAACTAGTATGGGAACCGTAAATGAGAGAGAGGAACATTACAGCTAAACACAAACACCACAAAAGTGTCAAAACTGTCAAAGTACAACATCGCAAAACAAAGTGTCAACGCACAACATCGCAAAAACAGGCCGATCCTTAAGGGGATAAAATCCCTGTAAAAAAAAAAAATAATCAGTAACACTTGAGTTTTGTTTTTTTTTGAGTCTCCTGTCATCAGTTCATCACCTGACATTCTTATCTTCAGCCCACGAATAAATAGGTACATCAAAAATAAAGAATGAATTTTTGTTTGTGATGATGGAATTGGTTTAGAATGGATCATTGTGATTAGCTCAATGTGATATTAATTTTACTTTAAGATGTGAACTTGAGAACATCATCTGTCAGATAGTTGTCAGGGCAAACAATGTTGGTGCAAATATAAGTACCTAGAATGGTTTAATATGGTCTGGTTTGTGAGACAACCTTTTGTCACAGTTAGGTAACAATCCCACTGTAAATGGGTATTTGTCTAGGCTCTGTAATTAATATAAATGCTAAAGATTTAGAGGCAAGAAGTATATGCAATAATATTCACTATCCAGTCTGGGACGAATGGAATCCGTTGATTAAGACATAAACAGCAGACAGTTCAGGAATACATTAACTCAAATGAATAAAAGCAACAATTGCAAGCTGACTTAAATTTACATTTTTGTTATGCGGCTATGTATATGTATAGAATTGCAAGTCAAAACAGGAATATGGATTTACACTCACAGCTGAAAGAGTCAAGTGGTAACACGCAAGTCACACAATATGGGTATCATAGTATACAGAAAAGGCAAGATTGTAAATACAAGCAGAGGAATCAAGACGACGTGCAGGTAGAAAAACTGCCTACTATCCTTCCTGGCACAGAGTTAGAAAAACAATAAACGAGTTAACTTGGGATTAGTAACAGACAACAGATTTTGCAACAATGAGCAATAATATTTAGCGATTACAAAGGCCAGTAAGGTATTGTACTTCATACAAGTGGGCACAATGTTTTTGCAGCAGTCTTACAGATGGATAGTAAATTGAACAGGAAATATAGAATTTCTTTTACATACAGCCATGTTACTGAGCACTGCTGATTACACCACATGCCAAGCTGCTACCGTTGTTGCCAGTCACCAGGCTCTCATCATTCCCACCTTTTCCCAGGTCATCTTCCTTCTCATGGACCACAACAGTACGTACAATAATGTTGTGCTCGCCACGAAGAGAAATCACACTATCCGTAAACTCAAATTTTGCCTCACCATTCGCAACACTGATATTGCCAAGATCACCAACGTGCCTCACTTCATCTTCAGGGCCCCTATGAGTTATATTTCCTGGGTTGAAGTGTGGGCCAGCACTAATACAGCCATTGGTGTTATTGCCATAAGCATGTATATGAAAGCCATGTTTTCCATCAGTCAATCTTGTAATAGTCCCCTTAACTGTAACTGGTCCATCACCCTCTTGGTGGAAGTGCCTTGCACATCTCCGGTCCCCTTCATTACACACACACCGCCTTTAACTTGACTGTTCTGAGCTCGACTTCCACTGACAGCCCATATTTATGAATCAAACAAAGGGCCAATACAAACAATTTTCTAGTATTCTGTTCATTAACAGGACTGTATGTAGCACAAATGGTTACCCATATAGACTTGAAAAAAGGAGATGTTGCCTATGGCAGAGGAAAGGGTTCTTTACCATAAGAACAATAAATATGTGGAATTCTTTGAGATTGTGTTATCATATTCTTCAAATATTTTTAAACATTGCCTGGATGATTTTTGATAAAATATGCATTTGAAATATGTTAATATGTGGGGTACCAACATGATGATCCATGGATCAATCTCCCTTTTTTTTAAGTCCCAATTTTTTTTTCTTTCATTTTGTAACAATTTTGTTTGAATCAGTAGCAGAATAGAGATGTATGAATCTGATAGACTAAGGTGTTTTAGTAAAGAGGCAAATAAGCAACTTTCAGGCAGAATATATGTAGCCAAATGTACATACATGAATATATGTAGCCATACTTAGGCAGAATATATGTAGCCAAATGTACATACCATAGTGAATATGTAGTGCGTCCAAGCCTAGAACGAATGTAGTGAAACCATTGAGTGAATATGTAGTGCGTCCAAGCCTAGAACGAATGTAATGAAACCACTGAGCCCACCTTGAGCTCTCACTTGAACAACCTTCAAGTGAGAGCTCAAGGTGAATTTAAAGTGAATTTAAAATTTAAGGTGGAAACAGCCAAAAAAAATAAATCTCTTTGTCAGCTATCCTTTCAGTCCAACTGCTCTGGTATTAAATTTAAAAATTCCCTTTACATTCAAAGTTCAGGCACACTACTTATTCACAGCGCTTTCAGTATATTTGGTCTACGGTCAGCCATGCTACTTATTTGCAATGGTTTCACTACATTCGTTCTAGGCTTGGACGCACTACATATTCACTATGGTATGTATATTTGGCTACATATATTCTGCCTAAGTATGGCCACGCTACATTTGCACTTAATTCAGCCATGCTACATGTGCACTTAATTTAGTACATTCAGCCTACGTTCGACCTTGCTACATTTCCACTTGATTCAGTACATTTGGCCTACGTTCAGTTGCAGTCACTTTTGGTTCAGTACATTCAGCACGTTCAATTTGGTCCAGTGCATTTGGCCTACATTCTGTCGTGTTGCATTTTTACTTTGGTTCACTACATTCAGCTTACGTTTGGCCGCACTACATTTTCAGTTTTTGGTCAGTGCAATCCGTTATGTTCGGCCAAGCGTTTACTGCTTTATTTTAAGCCTCGTTTGACCATGCTACTTGTCAGTAGACAGTTATATATAATTTTGCTATGCCATCAGTTAGTTCCAGGACTGAAGGTAAACTTCTACTGTATGTGTTTAAGGAAACTTTATACTCTCATGCATATAACACATTTTATCAGTTGCTTCAATGCAGTATTTATCAATAGAGCGATTTGTAACTGTGGTCCTTGGTGGTTCATTGAGGCTTCCTGCACAGTACATGTATACAAAAATAAGTTTATTTTGATATAGG